CTCCGTTTGTGGACTTCTGGTCCTTCCTTTCCTCTCCGACTGCAATGGCTCTCCTGGGGGTCGAGGGATCAACAGGTTCGGCCAATCAGGAGGTTTCCTCTACAATCCTACCGGCTCCTCTTTCCTCTTCGGGAATTGGCTTTGTAGTCCTAGGGGGGGCTCTGAAGTATTTCTCCACTCAAGCAATGCAGGGAAGGGAGTAGGATTTGCACAGTGCAGGTAAAGCAGATTGCGCCCCCTTGTATTTTGTACTACAAATCCCATCAACCCCAGCCAATGCGAGCAACGTCGTGGATTGTGAGAATTGTAATCCAAAGCAAGGCTCCAGCTCCTATTCGCCTACTCCTTTCCCTTGGAGGCTGCGCTGCATCCGGCTGGGGCCAAACGGAGGCCGGCGGTTGGGGAAGATCCGGAGCAGCTGCGGTGCCAGGAAGGGGGGAGGAGGGGAGGAGGGCAGCGGATCTTCTCTTGGCCCCGGAGAGGGTCCCAGCCCCCTTTTTTACCTGAGTCCAGGTGAGGTTCCAAGAGCGCTGGCATCACTGCGGAGCTTTTAATGCAAGTGCAGAGTTGAGCTCTCTCCATTCTCCCCCCCCCCATGACCTGAAACGACGCCCCGGATTTCATTGCCCTCCTTTAGTCTCCCCTCCCCCGTCTTTGTCCCAAGCAGCACCCGAGGATGGCGGTCCTTCTACCTGGCAGGGGCTTCCTAAGAAGCCAGTGGAGGGGCAGGAGAGGGGCCCCACCTTCTCCAAGACCAGAAGTAAAAACCCTCCTGCCTCCGCCTTTGTCAAGGGCAGCTGGGTGGGGGCCGAGGGGCTCCCAGAGACCCCCAAGCTGGATCTTCTGCTTAGTTGAAAGTCCCAGGGGGAGGAGGGAGAAAGCTCCGCGCTTCTTCGCTCCCCCAACTATAGAAAAGCACCTGGAGAAGGTGAGAGTTGGTCTCCCTTGGGGGAGGGGAAACATAAAAGTGGATCCCTCCGAGATCAAGGTGGGCCCAAACGTGCCTTTTTTGTGTGGGGGATGGAGGTGGAGCCTCCTTTGGGCGAGGCGAGGGGGGAGTCGGGAGGTGCAACTACAGAAAAGGAGCGTTTGGGGAGGTGTGCGTGGGGAGGGGGCGAGGCGTTGCTTTGCGAAGGGCAGAGTCTTTTGGGGGTGATCTTGGCGGGAGAGTGGCTGGTTGGTTGGTTGGCTGTGGATGGGAGGTCGGGGGTGGGGGGTGTTTTTGTGGGTGCGTGTTGTGGGTGGGGGAAGGGGAGCGGTTGAGGAGGAGGGAGGGGCTTAAAGCCAGGGAGGGAAGGGGAGGGAAAGGGGGAGCAGCGGGTGAGGAGCAAGCAAAGCGCCCGAGAAAGGCGGCGGAGGAGCTGCGAGAGGAGCGAGTGAAAGAAGCCGAAGAACCGCGGAGATTCTCCCCGAGCGGCTTCAACGGCTCTGCCGGCAGCGCGCCTGGAGCGTCTCCGGTGCTAAGCAGGGATGCTGAGGGTCTCACCTGGATGGGCGACCAGGGCGAGCGCTGCGGAAAAGCCAGATTCTCCTCCCTCTTTCCCCCGCCCTTCTCAGAAGCCCCGCCCCCCCTTTCCCTTCGCTCTGCCCGACGGTCCCCAAAGTCTGCCAGCTCCTCTCTGCCTCCTTCCCACAGGGGGCGCTTTCCTCCCCATTAGCCCAATGATTCAGCCGCGGAGACGCTCCGGGTCCAGCGCCCTCCGGACTTCAGCCGAGCAGCCGGGCGGAGCTGGAGGTGCGGGGGGCCCTTCGGGAGGCCATTCAGACAGCGCCGCCGCCCTCGAAGCGCCTCCTTCCTCCGGTCCAGCGTCTCCAAGCGGCCCCTCTGGGTCCCTTTCTCGGCCACTGGGACCTCCAGCCTCCCGGGGAGTTTGGGCTGGCTGGGTGGGCTTTGCTCCGCTGTGGAAGGGCTGCGGAATAAGAGGGCGTCACAAATAGCCCCAGAGACTTTGGGGCAGCTGATCAGGGAGGGAACCTCCGTGGAAGGAAAAGACGGGAGAGAGAAAGAGGGAGAAAGAGAGCGAGAGAGAGGGAGGGAGAGAAAGAGGGAGAGAGAGAGAAAGAGGGAGAGAGGGAGAGGGAAAGAAAGAGAGAGAGAGAAAGAGGGAGAAAGAGAGAGAAAGAGGGAGAGAGAGAGAAAGGGAGAGGGAGAGAGAGAGAGAGAGAGAGAGAAAGAAAGAGAGGAAGGGAGAGAAAGAGGGAGAGAGAGAAAGAGGGAGAGAGAGAAAGAGAAAGAGGGAGGGAGAGAAAGAGAGAGGGAGAGAGAGAAAGGGAGAGAAAGAAAGAGAAAGAGGGAGAGAGAGAGAAAGAGGGAGAGAAAGAGGGAGGGGAGATGAAGGAATGGCCGGAATGAAAGACTCGGGATCTCTTCTGAAGAGGGAAACCTTCTCACTGACGGGATCTCTGAGCAGGTCAGGCTGACATTCAGTTATTGGTGGTTACAGAAGAATTGCAACCGGAGGGCAGGTGAAGGGATGATTGGCATTCCTTTTTTCCCCTCTTTTTCCCAGCCCCTCCGGCTCCCTCCTTCCCTTCCTGCCTCCGTTTCCTTCCCCTCCAGACGCCGCAGAGGTCGTGCCAAGGCCCCGTTCACTGGGCTCAGCCTGGAGGATCGCGCAAAAACGGCGCCTCCTTCTCCTGCCCCTCCCGCCTCCCCCCCCCGTAGACGCAGCCCCCGCGCCCGCCCCACTCCCTTGCGTCGGGGGGGGGGCAGGAGGAAGAAGCCGCACCAGCCCCGCATCAGCCCCCCCGGAGGTCCTTGCCCCGCACTCCCCACCCCCTCCAGCCCCCCCCCCGCGTTTCCTCCCCTCCCCCCGCCCCTCGCCCAGAGAAAGAGGCCCCATCAAAGCACAAACGCCTCCGAGCAGGGCGGGGGGCGCTCAATAACGGGGGGGGGAGGGCAGGGGGGCGGCTGGATCCCTTGGTGGGAAGCTGGGTCTCCACTCAGTCTCCCCGGAGACAATGTTGGAAGGGAGGGGAGGGGAAGTGCCCAGCCCCCCTGGCTTGGGGAGAAGGACGGAGCTTAACGGGCCTCAGCGCAACAGCCGCCCTGAAAGGCAGAGACAGGAAGGAAGGAAGGAAGGAAGGAAGGAAAAGGAAGTTAAAAAAGAAAGGAAGGAGGGAAGGAAGGAAGCTGGAAGGAAGAAAGAAAGAAAAAGGAAGGAAGAAGGAAGGAAGAAAGAAAACGAGGGAAGGAAGGAAGGAGTAAAGAAAGAAAAAGGAAGGAAGTAAGGAAGGAGGAGAGAAAGAAAGAAAGAAAAAGGAAGGAAAGAAAAGGAAGGAAGGAAAGAAAGAAAAAGAAAGAAAGGGATTTTCTGTCCTGGGGAGGGGGGAAGGGGGGAGGTCGGCTGACCCTCCAAAGGCTTCTGGGCAGGAGCTGCCGGGGGGAAGGACCGCCGTCCTGGGAGCGCTGGGTCGGACCAAGACCGGGGAAGGGATTAAGGGGGGGTGGGGGGAGGGGAGGCGGTGCGCCCTTTCAGGTGGGAGGGGGAGAATTGAGAGACCTCAAATCTGCAGCGGATGAGAAGCTCCAGGTGATGCTGGTCCTCTTGGAAGCTCACCTGGACGCAGGTAACCAAAAAGGGGGGACGTTGAGACCTTAATCCCCCCTCCCCGAGCCCCCCCCTTCCAAGGGCTTCCCGCTCTGCGCCGTTGCTGCCGCCGCCCTTCGCTCGCCTTCCTCCGGGGTGAAGAGCTGCCGTTTCTCCCCACCCGGCAGCCCGACGGCTGCAACCTCGCAGGGAGAGAATCCATCCCCGGAGCTCCCCCCAAGGCTGCTTCCCCGCCGCCTCGCCGGATGCCCCCCCCGCAGACCCCCGGAGGTCCCGCGAGGGCTCGCTCGCTCAGCCCCGGGGAGGGAGGCCAGGGAGGCGGGAGCGGGGCTGCCGGAGGGGGCGCTGGGCGAGCAGGGGGGGGCAAGGGAGCAGGGTAGGCGAGGGGAGCCAGGAGGCGGCAGCAGAAAGCAGCCTCGTCTGTGGGAAGCCGTCAGTTGTGCCTGGAGGCCATAAGGGGAGTCAAAGGCCGCTGAGGGACTTTGTGCCAATCACCGGAGCTCTAATCCCACCTTCCCACAAAAGCCAAATGGGGGACTTGGAGTTCCGGTCCTGTTTTAGGCATGAAAGCCAGCTGGCTCTGAGTTCTAATCCTCCCTTAGGCATGGAAACTCCTTGGGGGGCTTTGGGCCAATCACCAGGAGGCTCCTGCGTTCCAGTCCCGCCTTAGTACTTTTTGATTGGGGGAGTGAAACTTGGAAATATTTTCTCATATGAATCTTCTCATATTAATGTTCTCATATTAATGACTTATTGCTTTGCCCAACACTCAATGGGTGCTTCCCCACAACTGAACCTTCCTCCATCACCCCAGACAGTGTTGGGCACTGAGACATCCCTCCATCTGGGACTCCCCAGTTCTGATACCCCAGATATTCTGATCCCAGAACTGGGGAGTCCTAGATGGGGAGATGGCCGAGTGTCCAGCACTGTCTGGGGTGATGGAGGAAAGTTCAGTTGTGGGGAAACACCCGTTGCGTGTTGGGCAAAGTCTCTGCCTTCTGCCTGTGGGAGAACCAGAGGCCTCTCTGTGCTCATCGTGAATCTTGGACTGACCTTCTGACCCATCAGAGCTTTTCTTATCCCCTGAAAATGGAATTTGCAAAGGATTCAATTGGCAATTAGGAGCCATTCTGAAAGATACAAATTGGTCTCTAATCAATCAGCAGACTCGGTGGTTGGAGAGCAGAGCAGCTTCCTAGAAACCCAGCTCTTCCCATCCTTGCTCACCCCCTTCCGGGACCTGGATGTAGATGCAGCATTGAACCCTCATGCCACAGTCTGTGATGCCTTTAGACAGGATCCCCTCAACCTCCTCCTGGGGAGAGTCTCCGGGTCTCCTTTCTCTGAGCATCTTCTCCAGCCCTTCACAGACAAGAGAAGCTTGGAAGAGGAGCAGAGAAAAGGCTTTAGGTAGAAATTGTAGAGTGGACCATTAAAGGGCCTGAACACTGTTAGATATTTCTCTTTTATTTTTTGAATAAGGAAAGAAAAAATAGGGAGCCAGACAAAGTGAGCCCCAGTGAAATCCCAGATGGCTGTTGTGATCCACTCTTTCTCTAGAGTAGGTCTCATCAGGACATCAAGAAGGAGCCATTTAAGAGTTGCGCAGATCTGCCTCCCCAGCGGAGAGCAGGTGAAACCTTCACATCATTTCATGGCTTCTCTCAGAGATTGTCACACAACATGACTGGAGCTTCTTTCCCACAGCTTCCATCTTGCCATTCTTCCTCCTCAGGCTTTTCTCTCACACAGAAACACTTTTCGGCTCTGTCAAACCTGCTCAAATTATTTTTATAAGGCATCAGGTTCATTGGCTGTTCCTGAACATGAAATTCTTCTGAATGACCTTCCCAGAGTTCTCTTTATTGAGCTGAAAGGGAAGGGGATTAAAGAAACATAGACATATATTCTTCTTGGATTCCTGCATACTATCTAAGTAGAAAGAATTAATATTTTCTTTCAAATAAAAGAAAATCTAATAATTCTTCCAATATCACAATTGTGTTATATCTCATGTTTTTACATTTGTTCTGCCCGTAAGATGTTCCTTTGTGTTGAGGTCTGGCCTCAGAAGGATAATGTAGCACTTGGGGATGAAGATGCAGCCCAGCAGACCAGCACTGGAGGCCAGGATGGAGAAGACCTGCACAGCCACCATGGATTTCCCTTTGGTGCTCAGGTAGGTGGGCACAAAAGTCACCCAGACACTGCAGAAGACCAGCATGCTGAAGGTGATCAGCTTGGCTTCGTTGAAGGCCCCAGGCAGGTTCCTGGCCAGGAAAGCCACCGTGAAGCAGATGGCAGCCAGGAAGCCCATGTAGCTGAGGGTGACGTAGAACATGACAACGGCCCCTTCGTTGCATTGCAGGATGATCTCTCCAGGCTGGGAGTGGAGGTCAGAGTCAGGGAAGGGGGGAGAAACTCCCAGCCAGGTGGAGCAGATGAGAATTTGGACAGCAGAAGAAGAAAGGATGATGGAGTTGGCCAAGCTCTTCCCCAACCATCTCTTCACTCGGTTGCCTGGTTTTGTGGCCAGGAAGGCCAGCACCACCGTGATGGTTTTGGCCAAGAGAGAAGAAACGGCAACTGAGAAGATGATGCTGAAGACCGTCTGTCGGAGAAGGCAGGTGGCTTTCCTTGGTTGACCAATGAAGAGAAGGGGAGATAAGAAGCAAAGTAGGAGGGAGACCAAGAGGATGTAGGAGAGGTCCCGGTTGTTGGCTTTGACAAGGGGAGTTTCTCGGTATTTCATGAAGATGATTAAAACAAGATCTGTGATTAAGAACAAGAATAGGGCAAAAGAGACCAGAATGATGCCCAGATGTTCCTCATAAGACAGAAAGGTTATGACTTTGGGGATACATTGGATTCTGGCTTCATTTGGATATTTATCATCTGGACATTTGGTGCATTTTTGTGTATCTGAGAAAGCCAAAAAGCAATATTTCTTTAATATACTGGTTTTTTTACATGTTAAGAAATATCTTCTTTGGATCACAGCATGGGCATTTTCCAAGAAGTATTTCTTAACGATTTCATTAAAAAGAGCATAAGAAGGGTATTATTTTTTTTATTGAAAAATGTAGCTAGGTTAATGAAGGTGAGGGAGGTTCTAGGATGTTAATTATTTCCTGTGTAATGTGTAGAATCTTCATAGGAATCTACATTTTTAGAGGTTAATAATCATATAATCGTTTTAGGCAAACTTCCTGAGTCCTACCCCATGGCAGTTAATATCCTGGATTTGGAGGATACCTACAGTATCTTGTAACATCTGGAAGCAACCTGGAATTAAGGAGAAACTTCTTATCAGTGAGAGCAATTAACCAGTGGAACAGCTGGCCTCCAGAAGTTGTGGATGTTTCAAGATTGGAGGTTTTTAAGAAGAGACTGGACAGTCACTTGTCTGAAATGGTATATGGTCTCCTGCTTGAACAGGGGGCTGGACTAGAAGACCTCCGAAGTTCCTTCTACTCTATTCTGATTGATTGGTTGATTGATTGATTGATTGATCTACATGACTGGCACTATTTGTGTAATGAGTTCCCACCATAATTATCCACAGCACCACGTTATGGACCAGTGACACCTTCTCAGTGATCCTCAAAGGAGGCCGATAAACAATGAATTTCAAAGTCTTTCAGAAGGTGGACCTGAAACAATTCATCAAGTTTCAAAGAACTCTGATGTTCCTAGAAAGGTAAACTTAGCAGCACATATCCAAACTAAAAAGCAGAAGAGATATTTGCTCTGCTGTTAGTAAAGCTTGCCCAGTCTGCCACCCCCTCCTCCCATCTCTTCCCAGCCCCTCCTTCCAAGTCTTTTTGATTTACCTCCGTTTAGATAAGAAATTGTGCAGGTTAAAAATAAAAAACCCATGTGAGCTTCAATCTGTCTTTTAACTTCCACCTTCATGAAAAGGTTCTGCATGGATCCAGTTCCAGAAAGCCTCCCATTTTCCTCAGTGTGACCCACCTTCCTGAGTGGAGAAGGTCCCCTCCGGACAAGGAAGGCAGTCATAGCAGCAAACTGGCTCTCCTTCTCGAGCCCTCTTGACAAATCCAGGATGACAACTTTCCACAGATTTGGACTGAGGCAGGGACTGAGCAGAAAAACAAGGAATGCCAGAGAAAAGGTGTTAGGACTCTCCGTCCATGGAAAATGGAGGGAGAAATGGATGGAGACAAGTAGCCTCTGGTCTTCACTGAGGTAAATATGAAACCTCTGACTACTTCTAAACAGATGCAGGAGGTAAAACAACTGGCAGGTTCTTCATGTAGTTCCTCCCTTTTGAGTTTGCAATTTAACATTACAATAAAGTACTTTTTTATTTAATGTAGTCTAGAGGGATGGAATTGATTTTTTTTAAGTATGATGATATAGTCTTATTAAAACTGATAACGTTTACTGTAAAAGATTCAGGAAATTTTATTCTATTAGGTTTTTTAATATGAAATTAAACTGTGATGAAGAAAGAAACCTCTGACCAGTAAGATCTTCAAAGATTTTCCTAAAACATGGCAAAGCCACTCCACTTAGGTCCCGTCTCTTGAAGAGCTTCCATGAGATGACACCACCTGGCATAGGAGGCCAACCACCCTGGAGACTCTAGGCTTTGCCCACTTGAAATGGGACCTCAAGCTTTGGAAAACAGAGAAAAGACACCAAAATTTCTCCCACCTTATTGAGTAACTTTAGCTGTGAAAAAGCAACTTGGTTGATAGTAAGTCTCTGTCTTTTAAAATACGCCAGAGTCTCTCCCCTGGGATCCTCCTTGGGCAGAACCAAGAAGCCATGAATGCCCAGATCTGCTGTTATCTCTCCATTTTGGTCCAAGTACAGTTTCCTCTCAGAAATATTCCAAAATTCATTCTTCTTCAGAAAGGGATGAAACTAGAATGGGAACATCCAGGAATTTGAAAAACAGAGAATTTTGTTTTTTATCCCACATTGAATCTTTCTTCTACAATTGTCTAATCTCCAAATATGCTTAATTAGGATACAAATACTGTCATTATCTTCAGAAGTGAATGAAAAAGTTTGAGAAAGATTTGTCAATCATATACTGACAAAATATAGAGATAATTGACAAAATTTGTCAATTATAAGGAACATTCTAGAGCAGATGACAAATAAAATGATCAGAGAGAAAAGAAGTTGATTCATAAACTCTTTGAAAACAAGAGGTTGATTCCCAGAAAGCATGGGTTGATCAAGAAGAAAGTTGTCAGGCTAATCTTCTCCCTGGTCATCCTGATGGAAAACACCTCCAGATGTGCTAATTCTAATTAATTGTAATGCAACATTAACAAAATATTGAATATCTCAAAGGACAAATCTCCCACCAACTTTTTTCTCAGCTTGAAGAGTTAGCCAGGATCCTTTCTGAGTTTCTTTCTCTCCCTTTATGCAGCTGCAGGATTCTCCCCTCTTCTCTGATCCTTCCCTAGGCAGCCTCTCTTCCCCTCATCCCAAAAGTCATTCTCACACATCATTGCACTTCCTAAATAGATTATGGGAACTCTGGTGACATAACTGGATTTCAGTAAAGGACTGTAAGGTCCGGCCTCATCTCGTCATTCAGGAAAGTACAGACTCTTGAAACTTGGCCTTTCAAAAGGAAGCTTTTATTGGGAAGGAGTGGTGGAAGGACGGAATCAAAGCAGGCTCTGAGGGCCCTCAGGCAACACAGTTAGAATAAAGGAAAATAGAAACCCTCCCAACAGTCCAGTGGGGATTCAGCCAATCCGCAGGTGTGAAGATGTTATTGTACCTGCGGCTCTGAGAAAGTGATAAGGGAACTTTCCCAGGGTCCTCTTCCGACACATGGCCCTCCCTCCCCTGACGCTCCCCAAAAGGTGAGAAAATGCCAGGCCGCTTAGGCGCCAGGCTAAAGGTTATAAATCAATGGGCTGCAGGATACAAGATACATGGGGGGAGGAAAGGGGTAGAAGGTAAAGTATAAATGTAATCCGGGGTCCCCTCCTTCCCCCAAAGAAAGGCAGATTCACGGATCTGACAGACTCACAAACAATTGTGTGATGTGATTAGAAACCTGAGGGACGGATGGTATGATAACTAAGTGGATAAAAACTGTCTTCAAAATGATACTCAAATACTTTAATTTTTAATCCTTTTTAATTTTTCCTATGAGACCTGAAGGTTATGAATATCAATTTACCATTAGTCATCAATTTTTTTTATGTTGTCATTATATGATAATTAATACGATCTTAGAATAAGCTAATTTGATCTGATTTAAAGAATATCAAGCTTTTCAATTTATAAGCCTTATTTGAAACTTCATTTAAAAAGTTTGATAAAATAACAATGGTTATTTTATCAAATCAATTTAAAGACGATAATCAGAAGCAAGCAACAATTGTTGAATCGGATGGACTGGAACTGAATTTCCTGCTGGCATCCCTGAAGGAGGAATCTGGTTTGAAGGGAGGCTGCTTGGAGATGGCTGGAGAGGCCATGGACCCTGAAGACTCAAAGTGGACAGAACGGATGACTGAAGAAATGGATTATTTCAGGAAGATTGAGGGAAATTGGGGAATGAATTTGTCATATTTAACTGGAAAACAAGTCTTAAGAGTCTTTGTGTCTCAATTTACAGGAGGTCCTGTGACTTTTGGGAATGGAAAGCAGTTGTTGGGAAAGATCCTAATTAAAATTTTAAGGAAATGCATTATTATTAAGAATCAAACAATGATGTTTAACCCTGGACAGATTCTGGATGGATCAGAGATAATGATTGTGGTGGTCTGTGGTAGATAAGAAGCTCCTGTAAATTTTCTGTGAGTTAATTATAATAGCAGATAATAGACCATTTTGAAGTTTTGAAATTTAACTTTATTGTTGGATTGCCTGTTAACTACGTTTTTTTTATATATAGCAGATAGATGACAAGTCAAGTTGTTGCAAATAGATGTGTAGTTTATAATTGTGGGCCTATTTTGCAAGGGGGAGAAACTATTATTGCTGTATTGTATTCAACTGGGGGGACAATATGCAAGTTTTTCTGTTTTTAATGCACAATTTTTGAAAAATGTTTTCTCTAGTTTTGTTTTGTCTTTGTAATAGTTTTATTTTCCTAAACTTGTATTTTACCTTTTTGAATAAAATAAAATTTAATAAGAGGAATATCAAGTTTCCAGAAACAATATTTATGATTAGGACACAGAGAAGGGTGTATGAGTAAAAAGCAATAGAAAAATATCTGAGTTTTAGCAACTAGGACTTGACTAACAACAGAGTCTCATATAAGAACATGAATGAGGGACTGGAAGAAAGATGAGGGATATCAAACTTCATATGTATGTTTGTGAAAATGATCTCAAAATCATAGTTAACTGGAAACCGAATCTGAGTCAGCAGGGAGATGTTCATGGAAAGAAGGCAAATGCAGCCATAAGAATCTCAGGAAGTGAATATTGTGGTTTGGGGAGACCCCAACTCAAGGACCAGGTCCCCTTGCAGGCACCACGCTTGGAGGAGAATTTGCACAAAATCTACGTGTGAACTTCAGGGAAGGAGAAATAAGTCAAGGAAGAGATCAAAGGAGCTGCTCTTAGCCTTGAGGAAAGAGAACAAGGAGAAGAGCTGAAGATCAGGAGGAGTCTGGGAGCCCCTTTTCCAACTGACACAATCTCTCGGTTGGAGAAGGGAGGATGCAGCCCTCTTCCAAGCACTGACACACGTTACACACGAGAGTAAGATCTGCTCACTATTATTCCAGAGTGTCAGACGTGGAAAAATGCATTCAGTTACAAGAGAGGAGATTTTAGCTGAATGAAAGAAAAAAATATGATAAAAGTTTGAGTTGTTTTAGAGCTGAGCCAGTGAAGCAGAGAAGTTCAGTCTCCTCTTCATGGATTGTCTGAGTGCAAAGACGGAGCAATCATCAGTCAGAGAAGCTTTAACTGGGATTCCTGCAGAGAGGAGGGGTTGGGCTAGATGGTCTCAGGGTCTCCTCCAAATTTATAAAGGTTGTCATGCCACAACATGTATCTATTGTGCAGTTGTTGCTCTAGCCCCACCTAGTGGCCGGGGGCAGATAAGCCTAACTGTATGGTCTGAAGCCAGACTCCCTTTTCTCTCAGCCTTTGGAGGAGACGGAAGCAGCCGGTTTGACCGAGACACATGGTCATCCGGAGGCCTCCGTCCCTCACACGGAGCATCGCTGGAGAAGTTCCAGCTGCTTCTTTGTTGGCTCTTAGTTAATGCTGCCTATCTCCTATTTATATTTATATTTTCACTCTTTGCATTTCCTCAGTTTCTCCGTGCCCTTTTCTCCCAATGAAACACCCAGATCCACCCCAGGCTCCCTTTCACTGGAGGAGAAGAGGGGGGTTGAGCTGCCTGTTGAGCTGCACACAGACCCACCTGCAGTGGGGACGGAACAAAGGGGAAATTCCACCATGCTCATCACAAACCCACAAATACAGGAATTCATTTAAGAAAGAATACAGCATTTTCAAATGAGCAGAGTTTAATATCAAAATGCCATGGTATCTACTCTTTGGAACTATTATTCCCTGAGTAATTGAATTGGCCAGATCTGTTGAGTTGGTTCCCCTCCTTCTCCTCTGGATTCCTCTGTAGGAAGTTAGCACCCACCCCTTTCCTGGAAGAGTGAAATATTTCAGGAAACATGAAAAAGGCAGAATATTATATTTCCCTGGATGAGAAATGGATAAGCATGTTTTGAAGCAGCTCCCATCTTCCTGCCCCCACCCTTTGTCAATGGGCCATTAAGGCCTGGGCCAGTCTATTCTACATAACAAAGATCTGCCTCCTTCAGGCAGAGCCATAGTAGGAATTGCCAAAGATCCAACAAAGATAGGATTAGCCCTCTACCCATCTAGCAGCAGAAACTCACCACATGTGACCTGGGAAGCACATGTGACCATCAGCCAGCAAGGCCCCCGCCCCCTGGGAGTCTGACAACCAATCAGGATACTCTTTCGGGGCCCCAAGAAATGCAGAGCCAGAGAGAGCATAAAAACCCGAGGATCTACTGTATCTGCCCTTTTTCTGTTCAGGAGCTCAAGCCATGTGATCCTGTCCACCATTAAACCATCTTTCCAAGCAGTCTCCATGTCTCCAGTGTCTTTTTCCCCACTTGGAGCAGAACCTAGAAGGATGTTTCTTCCAACACCTCCTCCAAAGGATCTCAGATTAATGGATCCATATCGGGACCCCCATACCTGCCACGGCTGCAGCCTTGGAGACCCCAAACTCTTTTCTCCCTCCTTCCTTCTCCTCCTCGATCTGGAGGAATAAGCGGCATTCAAGGCCTGGGCCAGAGTCTTCATGAAACTGTAATATTGATACTCATTTGGGGCCCTTTTCCTGTTCCTTTTCTTCTGGGTCTCCAGGGGGGCTTTCTGGGTGCATCTTCTGCGGCTTTTGACAGAAAAGACGTTCTTTGAAAGAGAACAGAGAAAATAATGATCTTGAAACTTTTCTTCCACAAAGAAATGGGGTTCAAAGGCAGAATCTTTTGGCCTTATTTTTGGCAGATATGCAAAGTTCAAAATACTATGGATGTATTTGAGAAGTCTGCGCTTCTTTAGTATATACCATAGAAAAGTTGTGAGGATCCAGACTTTCCCTTCAATGGGTCCTGGTAGACGCATAAATGTTAAATGGAAAGGAAGAATTCTCTCCCAAATGGACACATATTCTATGAAGTGAACAAAGACGTTGACTTGTCTCCACTTAGAGAGGGAATCCCTGAGGGATGCTGTATATCCAGTTGTTGAGAACAGTTGTGATATAACCACACAAATTCCACTCCTGACAAGCACAGGAGGGAAAGTCCTCATGAAATTCTCTCCCTTCTCTGTGTCTGAAGCAAAGAGGCCAATCAGGGTCCATCTGAAATGGAGGAGCAGGTGGACAATTGCTGGGTACTGGAATCCTTCTTTGGGATTCATCTGGTGGAAAAAGGGGAATTGACTTTTATCACTCAGAGCCTCTGAAGCAATTTCAAGATTCATCTAAAAAAGCAATGAAGAATGCTGTGTTACATTTGGGATCAGATCAAGTCCAAAATATTATATTTTAATAAATCGAACCTGGTTCTCATGAATATCTTAGAATAGTTTGTTAATCAGACATTGTTTAAAATATTAAAGACAGAATATTAGCAAGATTGTATCATAATAATGGTGAATAATAAGCAAATTGAAAAACAATAAAAATGTAAATCATATTACTGTATCACCCCTACAATTGATCACAATTAGATTAACACGTGCAAATGCCAACTGGAGTATTCTATTCCAATAAAGGAACTATTATAATTTTCGAGGAGTGCTGCATGTTTTTTTGATTCTATATCCCAGATTTTTTCTGGAGGAAATTTGTTAACTTCTTTCTCCAGTTATACAAGAAACAGGCAGACCTCAAAGCCTAATAAGATTTGTCAGTTGCATAATCCAAGTTTGGTCTTTAATTGAAGTTTTGTCTCTTCCAACAGCCACAATTTTCAGAGTCTGTCAGTTTTCATAGACTAAATTTTATGCCAATGCCCATATTTTCTGATTTTAGACAAAGCAGAAAGGGTGTAAATTCCCAAATCAGCTCCGAGGGCAGCAGCTGGAGTCCTTTTGTCCACCGCAAGATCCTCCTCAGAGGCTGAGATTGGGTTGGTTCTGCTGGTGGTTTCTCTCTGAAGCCCCAAACATCAGATTGATGTAAGAACATGGGGGAAAACTGGGCCTCAGATACTTTAATAACTGGGGCTGAGGAAGCTGGAGAGCTGTGAGGTTTTCATTTAAGCATCACTTTCACTCCTGCCCTTTCTCTAACTGAGCTCCTTGGATGATGAGGGAGCCAAGATTCAATCTCAGAGAAAACTAACCCAGGTAAGGAAATATGTTATTTGCTCTACTGGATTACCCTCAAATAGGCATTTATGGCTATGATGTTGTTTTCCAAAGACGGTCACTTTTGAACTTGATTTATTAATTATCAGATAATTATTATGACAAAACAATCCAAGTCTTCTTCACAGGGCATAAATCCAAAGTGTAAGTATGATACTATCACATTATCAGTGTAAATCAGTGTATTCCAATAGGAATTTAACATGCTAAACATGTGTACCTATAACAGAACTTATAACAAAATAAAAGGGTTGGAAGGGACCTTGGAGGTCTTCTAGTCCAACCCCCTCAAGCAGGAGATCCTATAGACATATAGACTGGGTGAAACCAGGCTTAATAGCAGTAACTGTGAGAGGGATCCTGGAGTCTTAGTGGACAACCAATTAAATATGAGTGAAGAGTGTGCAACGGCAGCCAAAAAAGCCAATGCAATCCTAAATTGCATTAAGAGAGGGATACAATCAAGTTCAAGAGAGGTACTAATACCACTCTATAATGGTAATTTGGTACCCTTTTTAATTGTTGGTACAGCCAAAATTAGGGAAATTATTTACTTCATTGCCACAATGTAAGAAAAGAGATGTTGGTTTATATATTAGAGATACAATTTCAGCGGAGCAAATATATACAGATGATGAGGGAAGAATTTTGATGGTGGAAATAATAGATAATAATATGAAAATACTTTTAATATTATTACTATTTAATAATATATGCTCCAAATGACAATCAAGAAGATTTTTATAGAAAATTACATATGAAAATAATTGAATTGGACTATGATAATATTTGCATGATGGGAGACTTCAATGGTATAGTAGATGAGAAATTAGATTATAATACACAGAAGGCAATAAAGCAAAGTAGAAAGACTCTTCCGAAATCTTTTTTCAAAATGACAGAGGAAATAATTTTAAAATTTAATTTAATTTAATTTAATTAATTAAATTTATATGCCGCCCCTCTCCAAAGAATCAGATGCATGGAGAGAAAGAAACACAAAAATTAGACAATATACTTTTTATTCCAATAGACATTCATCATGGTCTAGAATAGATATGATTTGGATGACAATGGAATTGACTTCTAATATAGAAGAAATTGAAATAGAAGCAAATACCTGGGCAGATCACAATCCAATGACAGTGAAATGGAAAGGACAAAGGAGAAGGTCTAGATGGACTCTAAATAACTCAGTACTAAAAGAAAAAGACTTTGTACAAAAAATGGAGAAAGAATTTTTTAAAGAGAATAGAAAAGAGGATATATCAATGCAAAATCTTTGGGATACAATGAAAGCTTATGCTAGAGGTTTGATAATAGACTATACAAGGAAAAGGAATATTAAGAAAAGACAAGCTTATAAAACATTATAGGACAATTACAAGAAACTGGAAAAAGAATTACAGAAATCTCCACAAAAAAGGGATATTAAAATAAAAATGGATACAATTAAGCATAAAATGGGATTGATAGAAAAAGAAGATTTAGCACAAAAAATTAGAAGTACTAAACAGAATTATTTTGAAGATGCTAACAAACCAGGTAGATGGCTAGCATATAAACTGAAAAATAACACAGCTAGTGGATGACCAAGGACAAATTAGATTTGGGAATAAAGAGAAGAAAAAAATTATACAAGATTATTATAGAAAACTGTACGAACAAGAGGATATAGATGAGGAAAATGTTAAAAGATATTTACAGAAGGCAAATCTACCCCAGATTTCCAAGGATACCGAAATGATGCTAGAAAGAAATATAACAATGATGGAATTAACTGAAGCACTTAAAAAACAAAAGAATGGGAAGGCACCAGGCCTGGATGGACTTCAAGCGGAATATTATAAGACATTACAGGAATCGTTGAATCTCCCATTGTTAGAAGTCATGAATGAAGTTATGTCAAAGATGAAAATTCCCAAGACATGGTCAGAAGCATATATTACACTTGTTCCAAAGGAGGATACCGACCCACAACAAATCAAGAATTATAGGCCTATATCCCTGCTAAATTCAGCCTATAATATCTTCGCTTCAATATTGGCAGAAAGACTGAAAAGATATTTAAATAATTTTATACACTCTGATCAAAATGGATTCCTGCCAAAAAGACAGATTAGAGACAATATGAAGATAATTCTGAACACTTTGGAATATTATGAGGCACACCCTGAAAAGCAAATGGCTTTGATATTTCTAGATGCACAGAGAGCCTTTGATAACGTGAATTGGTGATTTATGTTATTACAACTGGAACAGATGGGCTTTGGTAGAAAATTTATTCAAGCTATAGAAGCCATGTACCATAAACAAACAGCAAGAGTAATGATAAATGGAGAATTGACAGAGCCTATTGAAATAAAAAAAGGAACGAGACAAGGTTGTCCACTGTCACCTCTGTTGTTTGTGCTAACATTAGAAGTGCTAAACAGGAATATTAGAGAAGGAAAAGATATAAAAGGAATAAAAATTCAACAGGAAGAATACAAATTGCAAGCATTTGCAGTGACCTGGTTTTTATTCTTGAAGATCCATTAGAATCAATAATTATATTGGTAGACAAGATAAGAGAATTTGGAAAAGTAGCAGGTTTGAAAATAAATAAAGACAAAACAAAGATTTTGACAAAAACATGTTAATAAAACAAAAAGAAGAGGGCTAAAAACATTGGGCACAACATAAATTTAAACGAATGGGGTACAATTTGGAACAGTAATCTTAAAATGACTAGGGCAGTAGCTTACAAGGAAAATCAATATAAGATGTTACATAGGTGGCACCTAGCCCCTGCCAGGATTGCCAAAATCTACCCTAATATGAGCCCCAAGTGCTGGAAATGCGACCACCATCAAGGCACCTTCTACCACTGTTGGTGGACATGCCCCAAAGCCAAAAAATTTTGGAGAACAATTTGGAAATGGATCTCGGAAACGATAGAAGAAAATATTAATATTATTATATATTATATATATTATATTATATATTATTATTAATATAAAAATATAAAAATATTAATTTTGAACCAGAAATTTTTCCTGAGAATCCTGAAAAAAGAATATGAGAAGAAAAAGAGGTATCTAATCATACACATAACAGCAGCGGCAAGAATAACAGAATGCATAGCATGAGGGGCACAAGGAATAATCAATAATGACTAAATAGAATTGAGCATTACCATTTGTACTATCTTTTAAATTATAACCAATGCAAAGATGCAATATTATGTAAATAATATGTAAATAATGCAAATATATGTGTTAACACCACGGAACCGAAAAACGTTGAATTGTACTATTATATATTACAATAAAAGACCAATTAAAAAAACAAAAACAAAAAGAACTGGCGGAAGTATCGAAGATGCAGGTCACCAATAAGGTTAAGTATTTGGGGATACACTTGACAGCAAGATGTAGTACTCTTAAGGAGAATAACTATAATAAACTTAAACAACAGATAGTGACAGATTTGGCAAAATGGGAAAATTTACAACTATCATTAATAGGGAGAATATCAACCATTAAGATGAATATACTGCCTAGAATTCTATACTTGTTCCAGACAATTCCAATTAGGTTGGGAAAAGATTATTTTGAAGATTTGAACAAAATAGTGTTAAAATACATTTGGCAGGGTAAAAAGGCGAGGATAAAATTAAAATTGTTGCAAGACGCTAGAATAAGAGGAGGTTTTGGTTTGCCCAATTGGGAACTATATTATCAAGCGACAAATTTGATGTGGATTAAAGAATGGATAATGTTAAGAAATATTAAATTATTGACTTTAGAAGGACATGACTTGTTGTTGGGATGGCATGCTTTTTTATGGTATAAGGGAACAAAAACACAGGGGTACTTTAGAAGACACTACATACGAGAGGCTCTGTTATTAAACTGGGAGAAGATTAAAAAACAACATTATTTAAAAATTCCAGTCTGGTTATCAACAATTGAAGCATTCTCATACTCAATAACATTTAGAAAGGAACAAATTGTTAGATATAGTGAATTATTGAATGAAAAGAGTGAACTTAAATCGAAGCAAGAATTAGAAGAACAAGGTATAAAGATGAACTGGTTTTCATATATGCAAATACGTTCTAGATATGATAAAGATTCTAAGACAGAAGGCTTTTATAATAATTTGACTAATTTGGATAAAATTTTAACAGGTACAGATGACAATGTAATTAAAAAATTGTACGGATATTTATTAGAGGTTAAATTGGAGGAAGAACAAGTCAAAGAAACAATGATAGCATGGGGGGAAATTTTGGACATGGAATTGACTTAGGGAAATGGCAAAAACTGTGGTTGCAAAATTATCAAATGACAATGTCAACAGCATAAAAGAAAATTTGTATAAGATGTTTTACAGGTGGCATCTACCCCCTACGAGGATAGCCAGGATGTTCAAGGACAAATCTGAAAAATGTTGGAAATGTCATCAGATACCAGGTTCATATTACCATATGTGGTGGACTTGTGCTGAAGCTAAAAGATACTGGACTAAAATCCACACATGGTTGGAAAAAATGACAAAAAAACACATAGACTTTAAACCAGAGATCTTTTTATTGGGGATTGTACCTGAAATATACAATAGAGAATTGAAATATTTGATTGTGAATTGTGTTTGCTAAAAATTGAAAAAATGAGAAAATACCAATGCAAGAGGAAGTTATTAAGAAAATCATGGAAAGTGCTGAAATGAGCAAATTGACATTTGAAATTAGAGAACAAGAAGATAAACAATATTACAAGATATGGGATCTGTTTTATCAATGGCTAGATAAAAAAACATGGAAATGAAATATGATTGAGACATAATATAAGAATTGTAGAAATATATAATATACAATATAATGATGTATGATTATTGGACTGATCTAGGAAGAGGAAATGACTATTATAATATAAATTAACTTAAATTTGAAAATATTTTCTACGAAGAAATAGCCATTGTTAAATAAATGATTAATGAGGATAATAATACAAAGATACATATTAGATTGATAATATGAGAAATTAGATAATAAATAAGCTATGAAGATGGTGAAGATGCACAAAAGACTTGTTACCAACCGACACACTGATGATTGATGATGGATGTTTTATGTTTTGTTTAAAAATAAATAAAAAATAAAAAACCCCAAATGGATGCCTTTTGTTTGTCTGAAGTTTATGATATGGAAAATTTGCTTTCTACATGTTTAATCCCTGTATGTAGTAATTCAAAACTTTACTAATTTGAGTGAGTATTTGTTCGAAGGGAACTTTGACTATAAGAATATAGCTCGTTGGGGGGAAGCTGTATATTATTCACCCCCTAACACAATTGATTTGTTTCAGTTCTTGAAAATGTAACTTTGTTGCTTTAACATTTTAGATGAGTGAAGAAACATTCAGCATCAACTTAAAATTTTGTATAATTTGGCCTATCATTTGTGCTATTTTAATTGGAGGATGCTGTTTTGTTCAGTGTATTTCTTTCTTTTGTAACATATGTATAACTTCAAGGATATTCCTCTCCTGATAATAACCCCTTTTTCTGGCCCTTGTAAGAGGATGGCTTCACAAACAAGATAAAAAAGAGTGAGATGTAGGGATGGAAGAATTAATTCGGGCAGAATGCAGCAAACTGCTTCCGTTTCTGGTGTCATGTATCTTCTTCCTGGATGATCTCAAGGCTCTGGCTCTGGTCTGTGTTATCTGACCTTCCTTCTGAGTGGGGGAACAGGGAGGAGGATTTTCCAATTAGAACGCTGTTGCTGTCCTGCCTTTTATCTGCCTGTGTAAAACTGTATAAAAAATAAAGCTCTCTGCAAGAGCAGGAGAGACATCTTTGATCAGAGCAAATGCTTGGCCTCTGATTTTCTATAGCCACATATTGCTGGCTCATATTTAAGTGATTGTCCACTAGGACTCCAAGATCCCTTTCACAGTTACTGCTATGGAGCCAGGTTTCACCTAATCTGTAATGTATATTTGGTTTTTCTAGCCTAAGTGTAAAACATGACTTTTCTCTACAATGAAATTCACTTAATTAAATAGGCCCAGGATTCAAGTCTATCTCGATCTATCTGGATCTTGAGCCTATTTTGATGTTGGCTATTCCTGCCACTTTAGTGTTGTCTTCAAATTTGATGATTTCCCCATTTCTCCCCTCATCCAAATCATTCATGAAGATGTTGAAGAGAACTGGGCCTAAAATGGAACCTTGGGGTCCCCCACTGCTTGTTTCCCTCCATGCAGACGTAGTTCCATTGAGGACCACAGGCTGACTCCATCTGCGGCTGATGCTGTCTATCCCACATATTTTCAGCTTTAAGAGAAATAGGTTGTGGTTTACTTTGTCAAAGCCTTTCTGAAATCCAAGTACTGTATACTACATGCACTGCATTTCACTGGTCCACTAATTTAGTCAGTTTTGTCAAAAAATGAAATAATATTTATTTATGATCTGGTTTTTTTCTCCTTCATTACTCCTAGTAAGTTATTCTTATCTAGACTGAATAACAAGGGTTCAAATATGCACCTTTCCCTTCCCCCTTGTAAGCATGGATCCTTCTTCTCATGGCTCCATTGAGCCCAAACCTCCCTCTCAAACAAGGGCTTGGATCAGGGCCAACAGGCTGAGCTCCATTTTGAGGGCAAAACATTTTCTCCATCATATTTCCCTATTTATTGAGTCAAATGCTGCACTAACATCTAGTTTTACTTGGCTGATATAGATGAGATATTTCAAGACAAATTTGTTGCCAATATTAGATTGTTAACTTGTGCAATATTCCTTATAAAATCTATATAGTATTTAATTCTACCTAAAACCTTCTGGTTCTTCTGCAAGGAATGCATTTTTCTCAAGTGTAACTAAGAGGATCATGGCATAAATTTTAGTCACAATATCTGTTAGTTTATTTGGCCTATAATTGCTAGAGTAATTTTTATTCTACATTTTAGATGGATAAAATGCTACTATTGGCAACTTCAATCCGACTGGATAGGGCAGGCATCATTTATCTGTGAAAATGAAGATGCCAATAGAGGCCCCAACAACCAGGGATATTTTTTGATCAGTTAAATAGTTGGTAGAATGTCTTCTCCGGGGAATGTATTGCTTGCATTTAAGGCCTTTTATGATCAATCACAACATGAACATAATGGGGTAAAATATTGACATTTTTGCTAATATGGAGAAAAGCAGCTCTTGAATTCCATGGAGAAGACATGATTGCATCTATTGCTCACCCACCACCACCCACCCCTCACTTTACCAGAGGGAGAAAAACACACACAAACCTGTGGGACTTTGTAGGTGCCTCCTAATGTTGACATCTGGATGGAGATGGCCCTTTCAGCTCCATCAAGAAGAGCCAGAAGGTTGTCCATCCTTCCACAGCCGTAGTTGGGGACATTGGCTTCTCCAGTGGAGAGCATGTCCAGCAAGGCATCTGAAGTGTGGAAAGTGCTCAAATAGTTGTCGTGGATGTTGTAGCCCAGTGTGAGGTTGTGCAGGAGCTGGGAATTCTTGTTGAACGTTTGAATGTTGAAAATGAATCGTAAGCCATATGAAAAATCATAATAATTCCTATGGTAAAAACATGTTATTATAATCAAAAGCAACAATAAATACTGTTTTTAATACATAATCCTCCACAAGCCTACTGAGCCTTAAGCCAACATTGATCCAAAAGCAATGATCAGTTACACAAATATAGAAATGGGCTGAGGTATGGCAACTACAACTGATTCCACCACTACTTTAAATAAAATTCAGTATTCAAGTGATAAATTATGGATTGAACTGAAGGAGGAAAATAATCTGCAGCCTTTTCAGCTTTTTTTCAGACCCCTTTTTGAGTCGCTTTCACAAAATCAGACCAAAGAGAGAAGCCATGGAAATCAAAATCATTCAGGAAATTAGACATATTCCCCAATATAGGAATAAATGAAAAATATAAAACAGAAAAGAAGGAGAGGGTTAGAATGGAGGGAGTGCAACTCCATCACCCTGAATGACTTACGGATCATGGAAAACAAACTGAAGAGAAGGAGCCACGTTGAAAAGCAACTTTATATGCAATATTTCATTTCCAGTGATGACTAAACCAATGAGATGATCTCCTGGGCTATAAAAACTCTGTCGTTGTTTTCCATCCTCCAGTTTGAAACTCAGCGGGCATTTCATTGTCAGCTTCCCAGAGACTGGATGGGATAAAATCAGCATCAGAGGCAGAAGCAGGAGGTCCATAATTCATGGTGTGAATCAATGAATCCCTTTCCTGTTTCTAAAGAAGATTTAGAAGAATCAAAGGACTCTCACAAGGTGGAATATGATCCAGTTGCTTTCCTGATTCAAACACAGAGAAACACTCAGCTTCACCTGGAAAGGAGAGAGACGTACATTCAAGAGCACAGACTCTGCCTGTCCCAAAACTCCATATTTCTCTGCCCAAAGTCTCCCCTGGAGGATTCAACCAAAGAGCAGAGCTGAAACTTTTATCATAATTCTCCCTCTCAGGAGGGATCCCTGGATAATTCAGCTAGTTCTTGGATTCAAAGGTTGTTGGGAAATTCTCTGGAGGGAAATGAAAGGGAAATAATCCTCATGTGATTCATAATAACAGGGGTAGAGATGGAATTAAATCGGTCATCTAGAATTCAGAGTTTTGGGAGCTCCATGCAGGCAATACATGGCACCTGTGGCTGAAGAAATAAATAAATCTGATATTTGTTTGCATAGTGATGAAAGACAAAACTCCAGGGGCCAGTTAATGCTGGAGCCTGCCATAGATCTGAAATAGCTGCCAGCTGAGTTGGAACCAAAATTTACTTTATTTTGAAAGCTAATGCTCAAGGGCATCGCACAAAAGGGCTGATGCAATAGTGCAGCCAGGCTCTAAGAACAAAATAAACTTTAGTGAAAAACTAGTTTTTCGAACTTTGCAGAGTTAAAAAAAATCAGAGAGAGAGAGAGAGGGAGGGGGGGGGGGAGGGATGTTAGAAAAAAACCAAGTGAAAAGAAATGGAGAAATCAAGGCTGCCTCTCATCCCATGTGGGGTGGAGAGGGAGGGGAGGGAGGGAAGGGGAGCTCAGGACCCTCATGTTGCAGAAGGAAAGCTGATCTTCAAAATCCAACTTCCATCTTCAGAGACCTGGGAATGCAGAAGCCCATGTCCCATGTTCCCCTGCCACCCTTTCCCATGCAGAGGCCAGGCAAGGGGGCTCTTGCAGGGATGCCAGACAGGACTCTGCCCGGCTGAGTGGGGAGCCCCTCTTGGGAGAAGGAAGATGGGGAGCCTTGTGGTGGGGGAGGGAAGCAGATCTGCAAAATCTCCCTCCAGGTTCCATCTTCTGAGTCCTGGAAACGGGGGAGATCATATCCCATGTTGCTCAGCCACCTCTTTCCATGCATGGGGCACTCAGGGGAAAGCAAAGCCCAGACCCACAGAGAAAGCCCAGGATGGCCAGGAAGGAGGAGGGGATCTGGGGCATTCCTGGGAAGAGACTAACCTGGTTTATGGGTCCCAGGGTTGAATATTGGGGGGATGCAGCCCCTGGGGATTCTCCAGCCTCTCTTGGGCTCCGTGTCTTTCCAGGAGAGGCTCCTGTGGGGAGAAGCCATGCAGGGCTGGGTCTTCCAAGGGGGATCCCACATTGCCCAGGAGGAAAAGGGTGTCGGCCTCACCCTGGAGGGGACCCTCCGTGACTCTGAGGAAGATGGGGGTCCCCTGTGGCCCCTCCAGAGCCCCCATCTGAGGAGACCCTCTTCATTGCAGCCTTTTCTCGGGAAGGGGCTTAAGCCCCCCTCCCTCTGCAATTCTGGGAGCTTTTGCCTCTTTTTCATCCCCCCAAAGCTCTGAATTTTGCTCTTTATTTGACCCCCCCGCCCCTTTGGCTTGGCTTCTTCAGCCTCTTCTCCATCTGTAATTTTATTTATTTATTTTATTTCAAATTTATATATCGCCCTTCTCCCTGGGGACTCAGGGTGGTGTACAACCAAGTTAAAACACATAATACATACATTAAGAACAGTTAAAAGGAATATCTCAATTGGCCCAAAATTTAAAAAGACAAATGAATTTAAAATCATTTAAAAGGATTTGTTAGCCCAGCCCGGCTTGTTGGAAAAGGAAAGTTTTAAGGACACGGCGGAAGGCACGGAGGTCTTGGATTCTCCTTATCTCTGGGGGCAGCTGATTCCAGAGGGTGGGAGCCCCCACAGAGAAGGCCCTCCCCCTGGGGGTCGCCAGCCTGCATTGCTTGGCTGATGGCATCCTGAGGAGGCCTCTCTGTGGGAGCGCACGGGTCGATGGGAGGTCATCAGTGGCAGAAGGCGGTCTCGAAGATAACTAGGTCCTATGCCATGGAGCGCTTTAAAGGTGGTAACCAACACCTTGAAGTGCACCTGGAAGACCACTGGGAGCCAGCGCAGCTCGCACAGGAGCGGTGTTATGCGGGAGCACCATGCAGCTCCCATAATTACCTGCACGGCCGCATTCTGGACCAGTTGGAGCCTCCGGGTGCTCCTCAAGGGGAGCCCCATGTAGAGAGCGTTGCAGTAGTCCAGGCGAGAGGTGACGAGGGCATGAGTGACTGTGCACTCGGAATCCCGATCAAGAAAGGGGCGCAACTGGCGAATCAGGCGAACCTGACAAAAGGTTCGCCTGATGATTGCCTCTCCTTCCAACTTAAGAAAGTAAAGACTCTTGAAACGTGATAGTTCAAAAGCTTCCTTTTATTAAGCAGAAGTGATAGCAACCCAGGTAAGGAAATAGCTGAATACCCTTAGCCTCCCGGAGAGGAAAGCGGCCCCAGCCGCCCCTGCCCTCCTCCCCTGGGCCTCCATCTCTGGCTCCCTCCCCTCTGGGCCCCTCCAAGCTCCAGGGAGACATGGCAGAGACCCTCTGGGAAAAAAAGAAGCCCCTTCCCAGGCCTCCGCCTGGCCTTCCACCCAGAGCCCCCCAGGACCTCCTAGCCAGGCCCTGAGAGGAGAACCTGGGATGGGGACCCTCCTCTTCCTTCAGATCAGCCCCCTCCCCAGTTCTCCCTTCTGGGCAAAGGGGGACGTCTCCCTCTTCCTCATCCAGAGAAGAGACACAATCTGTGAACAATGGATCCCAAGGAACCAGGGACTCAGATGTCCCAAGAGAAGCTTCAAAGCACTCGGAGGCTTTTTAGGGAAGGGGGCTTCACCCCACAGCCTCAGAGATGGGAAAGTCAGAGGGGTCCCCCTTTTCAAAATCAGCTCCGATTTATGAAGTTCTGATATAAAAGAAAAGCCCAAAGAGGCCCCACTCTTCACCTTAGGCAGAATCCAAGGGGACTGATTGCTTCCTCGGCCTTAGAAGAAAGGCAGCACAAGAGTTAAGGGTCACCAACCTAGAGTGGCACCAAACTCCATACTTCTGGGTGACCTTCTCCAGCAGACTCTGGGGACAAGAGACCCAGTTGAAGGACAGCAGAGGTCAATTCCCTTGTTATTGGACTATCTTTCTCCAGCATCCCTTTCCTGACACGTCCTGACAGGAAGGACCACAACCACTACAGGAATTGACCCCAGGAGTGTAGTTGTGGCTTTTCACAAACAACTTTTGCTCCATCCTGTCCTCTGCACATGGAGCCCCGAAGAAGCTCAGGATCCCAAGAGGAGAAGTTGCTTCTCACTCTAATTATGACCATCTGGCCTTTTGAGTTCTCTATGGCTTTGATAGAGACATCAGATTGAAGCCATAAGCAAAGGATCTTGTATCAGAAAAGGATAAATTTGTTAGATCAAGCTCTGTGGGGACAAGTTTTGGGACAGGAAGGATCTGTGTTCTTGATTGTACCTTTTTCTCCTTTCCAGGTGAAGCTGAGCATTTCTCTGTTTATGTCTTATTATTATATTTAATAATTAGCAATTTTATGATGTTTGTGTGTCTATATTTTTCTTGACTGTACACCGCCTTGAGTCCTACGGGAGAAAGGCGGTATAGAAATATAAGAAATAAATAAAATAAATAAATGTCAGGAAAGTCGCTGGCATTTCCATCTTCTGAGAGTGCTTTGAATTCTCCCAACTGTTCCTGCTGTGGGTGTTAGAAACAGGAAGAGGATTAATAAAGCTCCATGAATTATGGATCTCCTGCTTCTGCTTCTGATGCTGCTTTTGTCCCATCCAGTCTCTGGAAAGCTTAGAAGGAAATGCCGGCTGAGTTTGGAGCACCAGGATGGAGAACAACCATGGAGCTTTTACAGGCCAGGAGACTATCTCGTTGGTATAGTCGTAACTGAAAAAATAATGTTGCTTCAAACATTGCCTTTTGACAGTCCTCCTTCTATACCTTCTCATTCGTAAGTTATTCAGAGTGATGAAATTGCATTCCCTCCATTTTCAGTTCTATCACTCTCCTTCTTCTTTGTCTTATTTCACTTACTTCTATATTATAGGACTTCTCCAATTTTTTGAAAGATTTTGATTTCCATAGCTTGCCTCTTTTTTCTTATTTTGTAGAAGACACTTAGACCCAAAGATGGGGTTTAAAAATCCAGATTATTTTCCTTTTCACTACTCAATTCATCACTTGAATTCATTTTGTTTAAAGGAGGGACTGAAACAGTTGTAGTTGCCTCTGCCCAGCCCATTCCCAGATTTCTATAACCGATTATTGGTTTTGGATCAATATTATCAGCTTAAGGCTCAGTAGGCTTGCGGAGACAAAAAGGAATAAATTCTTTTTTAAAAGTTTGTTATTACTGTTTATGAGAATAACATGAACATTTCTTTTCAGTACTTTTTTTTATGGCTTTTTAAACACCCTACCATTAATTTATGCTGTTCAACTGGTCAACAAGAATTCCCAGCTCCTTCACAACCTCACACTGGGCTGCAACATCCATGACAACTATTCAAACACTTTCCGCACTTCAGATGCCTTGCTGGACATGCTCTCCACTGGAGAAGCCAATGTCCCCAACTACGGCTGTGGAAGGAAGGAGAACCTTCTGGCTCTTTTTGATGGCGCTCAGAAGGACATCTCCAGCCAGATGTCAACATTAGCAGACACCTACAAAGTCTCACAGGTTTGTGTGTGTTTTTCTCTCTCTGGTAAAGTGAGTGGTGGGAGAGCAACAGATGCAACCATATTTTCTCCATAGAATTCAAGAGTTGCTTTTCTCCATATTAGCAGACATGTCAATTATGGGTTTTTTTTTAATTATGCGCATGTTCACATTCCTCATAAAAGGCCTGAAAATGAATAAGGTCCCTGAAGAGGATTTTCTCCCAGCTATTCAACTATTCAAAAAAATATCCCTAGTTGTGGGTGAATTATTGGCATGTCCATTTTCACATAGAAATAACATGTGCCATATCCAGTTGGATTGTTAAGTTGGCAATAGTAGTGTGTATGTGTGTGTGTGTCTTTGTGTGTCTCTGTGTGTGTATATCTATATATAATGGAATAAAAAGGACTAGCAATTACAGTCCAGTTAGTCAAATAGATATTGTGGCTGAAATATATTGCTTGTTCCTCTTAAGTAAATTTGAGATTGGGTAGAACAAAAGTGCATTCTTTGCAGAAGAACAAAAAGGTTTTAAATAGAGGAAAATGTTTCATAAAGTTGTATAATAATTAATCAATAAATTAATAATCTAATATTGACAATAGATTTGTTTTGAAATATCTAATTACGTAATATGTCAGTCAGATAAACCAGGGTTTGCTGGCTGTGTAGATGTTAGTGCAGCATTTGACCCAGAGAGCAGAGAAATATGATGGAGGAAATTGATTGCCCTCAAAATGGAGCTCAGCCGGTTGGCCCTGATCCAAGCCCTTGTTTGAGAGGGAGGTTGGGGCTTTATGGAGCCATGAGAAGAAGGATCGATAGTTACCCAGGGGTAACACAGAAGGGGGCGTATTGCAAACCTTGTGATTCAGTCTGGATATTAATGCCTTACCAGGACTAAGAAAGGATTCTAATGCATCTAAATTATTTATTTATTTATTTATTTATTTATTTATTTATTTATTTATTTATTTATTTATTTATTTATTTATTATATTTCTATACCGCCTTTCTCCCATAGGACTCAAGGCGGTGTACAGTCAAGAAAAATATAGACACACAAACATCATAAAATTGCTAATTAAAATTATTACTTAGTTTGGTCAATTAAATAAAACCCAGAATTAGATAACATTTAAAAAATCATTCACATGTTCGTATGTTTAGCCCCGCCTGTTGAAACATCAGGGTCTTGAGGGCACGGCGGAAAGCACGGAGATCAGGGATATTCCGTATCTCCGGGGGCAGTTCATTCCAAAGGGTTGGAGCCCCCACAGAGAAGGCCCTCCCCCTGGGAGTCACCAGTCGACATAATTTGACTGACGGTACCCTGAGTAGTCCCTCCCTGTGAGAACGAACTGGTCGGTGGGAGGCTATTGGTGGCAAAAGAAGGTCTCGTAGGTACCCAGGTCCTAAGCCATGGAGCGCTTTAAAGGTGATAACTAACACCTTGAATCGCACCTGGAAGACCACTGGGAGCCAGTGCAGCTCGCGTAGGAGAGGTGTTACATGGGCGTAATGAGCTGTGCCCATAATCACCCGCGCGGCTACGTTCTGGACCAGTTGGAGCCTCCGGGTGCTTTTCAAGGGGAGCCCCATGTAGAGAGCATTACAGTAGTCCATACGGGAGGTAACTAGGGCATGAGTGACCGTGCGCAAGGCGTTCCGATCCAGAAAGGGACGCAACTGGTGGATCAGGCGAACCTGATAAAAGGCACCCTGGCCACGGCCATCAAATGATCTTCTAAAGATAACCGTGAATCCAGGAGGACACCCAAGTTGCGGGCCCTCTCTGTGGGGAGCAAGATCTCATCCCCTATTGTCAGTGATGGTACCAGCTGACTATACCGGGACGCCGGAAGCCACAGCCACTCGGTCTTGGAGGGATTGAGTCTGAGCTTGTTTCTCCCCATCCAGATCCGCACGGCCTCCAGGCAACAGGACATCACAGCAAGGGCATCATTGGGGTGGTCTGGGGTGGAGATGTATAGCTGTGTGTCATCAGCATACTGATGAACACTGACCCCAAAACCACGGATGATCTCACCTAGCGGTTTTACATAAATGTTGAACAGAAGGGGTGAGAGGACTGACCCTTGCGGCACCCCACAAATAAGGTGCCTCGAGGTCGACCTCTGCCCCCCTGCCAACACAAACTGTGAACGGTCAGAGAGGAAGGAGGAGAATCACCGAAGCACGGTGCCCCCTATTCCTAACTCCTCCAGCCGGTGCAGTAAGATACCATGGTCGATGGTATCAAAAGCCGCTGAGAGATCTAATAGGACCAGGATAGAGGAGCAACCTCTGTCCCGAGCCCTCCAGAGATCATCCACCAATGCGACCAATGCCATTTCTGTGCTGTATCATGACCTGAAGCCCGACTGGAACAGATCCAGATAGACAACTTCATCCAGGTATCAGGGTAGTTGTCGCGCCACCACACTCTCAACAACCTTCGCAACAAAGCGAAGATTGGAGACTGGACGATAATTTGATAATGTAGCCGGGTCCAGGGAAGGCTTCTTGAGGAGGGGCTTCACAACCGCCTCTTTCAAGGTGGCGGGAAAGACACCCTCACTCAGAGAAGCATTTATAATCCCCTGGAGCCAGCCTCGTGTAACCTCCCGGGAGGCCGGTACCAACCAGGAGGGACACGGGTCCAATAAACATGTGGCAGCGTTAAGCTTGCCCAGAATCCTGTCCACGTCCTCAGGAGCCACAGAGTCAAACTCTTCTCAGATAACGCTCTCAAGACCTGCCCCCGTCTCCTCCCCTGGATCTACCCAATCGGAGTCCAGGCCTTCCCGAATCTGAGCGACTTTATCATGCAGGAATTGTACAAAATCCTCAGCTCGACCCTTTAAGGGATCTTCCCGTACCCCCACCTGAAGTAGGGAGCGGGTCACCCTAAACAGCGCAGTTGGGCAGTTCTCTGCAGATGCAATAAGAGCGGAGAAGTAGCTAGACTTCACCGCTCTCATCGCCACTACGTAGGTCTTAATATAAGATCTCACCTGTGTTCGGTCAGATTCAGATCGGCTTGTCCTCCAATCACTCTCCAGGCGTCTTTTCTGACGCTTCATCTCTCTCAGCTCCTCGGAAAACCAAGGAGCTAGACGAGATTGGTATCGGGTCAGAGGCCGCAAAGGCATGACGCGGTCCAAGGCCCCAGTAGCCGCCCTGTCCCAGGCGACCACCAGGTCCTCAGTCGAGTCGTGAGCCAGAGTCTCAGGAAATGGCCCAAGCTCCATCAGGAACCTTTCGGGGTCCATCAGGCGCCTGGGACGGAACCATTTGGTTGGTTCCGTCTCCCTGCGGTGGGTGGAAGTGACTTGAAAGTCCATGTGAAGGAGAGAATGATCAGACCATGACAAGGGCTTGATGTCTATATCCCCTATTCTTAGATCATTCAGCCACTGATCAGAGACAAAAATCAAATTTTTAAATTTTTTAATTCGTGATTTTACAAATTGGGTGTTTTAATCTGTGTTTCGGCCGAAATATTTAATAATTTTAAGGGATTTTTTAATATTTGTATTATCTGTATTTTATCTTGGCTGTTCACCGCCCTGAGTCCTTCAGGAGTAGGGCGGTATAGAAATTTGATTAATGAAATAATGAAATGAGTGAGGAGGGGGGACTGAAGGGACAGGCGGGTCCATCCTGACAGGGAAGAACAGAGGAGGGTCCATATCCCACGTCCACCACTTGGAAGTTCTCCCACTCAACTCAGATTCCTCTCTCAGGGCCTGCAGGCCAGATCCTGGGTGGCTCCGGGTTCAAGCTGTGGTTTTTCAATGCCAGGTTGATGTGCCATTAGACTCTGTTCTCCTCCAGGATGTTCCCAGCCATGCCTTACCGAAGCCGGGTTCTGCCCAGAGGGGAGGAAGCCCCTTCTCGGTCAGGAATGAGCCCACCCCAATGCCTGACTTTGTCCCAGGGGAGGCCCCAGAGGAGGGGAGGGGGGGGGCTGTTGTCATCCAGAGTTTCTTATGGGCTTTGAGGAGGCTCCACGTGGACCTCTGGTTTGTCTCAGGGGGGCTGCGAGGACCCCGGCCTGGTCAAGTATGTGGTGTGAACGTGGTCCTTGCGAGAAGAAAAGTGTCCCCGATACAGGTAGTCCTTGACTTCCAACCACATTGAGCCCAAAATTTCTACTGTTAAATGAGACAATGGTGAGTTTTGCCCCATTTTATGACCTTTCTTGCCACAGTCGTTAAATGAATCACCACAGTTCTTAAATTAGTAGCCCGGTTGTTAAGTGGATCTGGTTTCCCCATTGACTTTGCTCATGAGACGGTCGCAAAAGGGGATCACGTGACCCTGGGACACAGCCATAAGGGTCATAAACATGAATCAGTGGCCAAACATCTGGATTCTGATCACGTGACCCTGGGGATGCTGCAAAGGTCGTAACTGTGGAAAACGGTCATAACTCACATTTTTCAGGGCTGTTGTAACTTTGAACGGTCACTAAATGAACTGTCTTAAGTCGAGGACTCCTTGTGTATCCTCTTGTTCAGCTTCTCTCCAATGAATTAAGATCCTTCGGAGTTCCCATAATCCACCGACTCCTCGGCCAACAGGTTCAGCCTCAGGAAACAAACCATGGTTAAAAGTTGCAAATGTGAACGTGGCCATTGGGGAAGGGACCGGGTTAAGTGGGCTGCCTGGATCTCACCAGAGTCAGTTGGGTGTGGTGGTTGTTAAATCCCAGAGGACCCTGAGTTCTAGTCCTGCCTCGGGCACCAAGCCAGCTAGGAGACTCTGGGCCAGCCACTCTCTCAGAGCCCTGGGAAAGAGGCAATGGCAACCACTTCTGAGCAACCTTGCTGAGATCTGGGGGGCTCTCTGACCACCTCCACACCCGGCTGGCTGAGGCTGAGGGGCCTCCTTGCGCCCGGCTTCCTCCTTGCCGGTCGAGCAGCCTCCAACGGGGTGAATGTGGACAGAGTTTTGCAGGTGGCTGTGCTGTGAGGAGGGGGCACACAGGCGTCCTGCAGGGCCAAGGGGTCTTTAAGAGGTCCTCCCCCCTTCTTAGTGAGGGAGGGGTGCTGGGGGAGAGGGAGGCAGGGAGAGCCCCCCACCCCATCTGGTCTGGGCAGCTCAGGTGCTGTCGGAAAGCTCTCCTCTGAGGGAGGGGCCCTCCTTGGGATTGGCTGGGAGGGAGAGGGACTCTGACGTCACAGGTGAGGACAGGTGGCCCTCCCAGGTGAGCCCTGGGCACCTGCAGGCCAGGTGAGGCTGGTGGGGTCTAGTGGGGAAATGCAGTCAGCTGCCAATTTCCCCCTGGGGCAGCCAGGTGCTTCTTCCTCCTTATCTGGGAAGTGGGGCACCCCATAGGGAGGGGGTCCGTCTGGCATTTCAGGGAAGGGCTGAGGTGGGGGAAATGGGGAGGGGGGGTCGAAGTCTGGTTTGCTAGCTTTGGATCTGGCAGGTGGGTGTTGTTCCCCCAGGGGTCAGAGGTTGTGTGAAGAGGAACCAGCTTGGTCCTGGCCAGAATAGCCGGCTGAGGCAGGAGCAGAGTTTCTTGGGAGATTAAACTGGGCTTTCGAGGCCTCTTGGGGGATCAGGATTGGATCTGGCCCTCCTCAGCCAAGCCCAGCACTGCCCTGACCCCTTCCGTCCCCTTTGCAGGACCCCACAGCGGAGCCCTTTCAGGAGTGACCTCTGAATGTCTCACCAGGTGGTTGATTAACTGAGCTGAGTGACCAAATGCCTTTAACCATCATGGGAGGGTGTGGCCTCCTTAACCTGGATTGGGAAGGAACCCTCTTTCCTGGGCTGACTTGAGTGGGCCACAGCTCATGTGAAGGGCATCCAGATGTTTCCAGGCCTTCCATGACAGCTGGGTGCATCTGAGCTGGGCATTGCCCACAGTCAGTCCTGAATCTTGTCTGGGGGCGCAAAGGAGTTGGGTTCTAGAGGGAACCAATCTCAAAGCGGCCTCCTTCTCCCTTCCATCCCCAAAGGAGCCTCTGAGGACCAGGGGTCTCGTCCTTGGTCGCCCATGAAGCCCCTGAAAATATGGACTGAGATTTTGAAATAGGTGGACTCCGTTTCACACATTTGGGTGCCTGGGAACCTTCCCCCATCCTGTGTCCATGTGTGAAGCAGGTCATCACGCTAACCTGGCATCTGATTGATGCATTCTGCCATGGCCCATTATGCCAACGCAGCAGTTCTCCTTCATGAACCTGGATTAAGGGTGTTGTATGAACTCCCCTAGATTCACCCCCAACCAGCGATGGGATGATGGCCAACGCAGACAGGCCAGACTGCAGACAGGATGGAAAACGTTTTATAGGATCTGCTTTTGGCTTTGGGGTTTTCCGCAACCCACTGCAATACATTGTTTAGCCCATTGTGTGAACCAATTCCAGGTTTGGCATTCAGGCAATAGAGTTGGGCTAATGGGAGAGAGGCAAAAATTTATTTTATTTTATTTATTTATTTATTATATTTCTATACCGCCTTTCTCCCGTAGGACTCAAGGTGGTGTACAGTCAAGAAAAATATAGACACACAAACATCATAAAATTGCTAATTAAAATTATTACTTAGTTTGGTCAATTAAATAAAACCCAGAATTTTCATTTCCCTCCAGAGAATTTCCCAAGAATCTCTGACTGCAAGAACTAGTTGAATTATCCAGGGATCCCTCCTGAGAGGGAGAATTATGGTAAAGGTTTCAGCTCTGCTCTTTGGCCGAATCCTCCAGGGGAGACTTTGGGCAGAGAAATATGGAGTTTTGGGACAGGCAGAGTCTGTGCTCTTGAATGTACGTCTCCCTCCTTTCCAGGTGAAGCTGAGTGTTTCTCTGTGTTGAGAAAAAGCAACTCGATGTTCCACCTTGTGAGAGTCCTTTGATTCTTCCAATTCTTCTTTAGAAACAGGAAAGGGATTGATTGATTCACCCCATGAATGATGGACCTCCTGCTTCTGCTTCTGATGCTGCTTTTGTCCCATTCAGTCTCTGGGAAGCTGAGAATGAAATGCCCGCTGAGTTTGGAGAACCAGGATGGAAAACAACCTCAGAGCTTTTACAGTCCAGGAGACCATCTCATTGGTATAGTCATTACTGGATATGAAATATTGCATACAAAGTTGCTTTTCAACGTGGCTCCTTCTCTTCAGTTTGTTTTCCATGATCCGTAAGTCATTCAGGGTGATGGAGTTGCACTCCCTCCATTCTAACACTCTCCTTCTTTTCTGCTTTTTTCCACATTTATTCCTATATTGGGGAATATGTCTAATTTCCTGAATGATTTTGATTTCCATGGCTTCTCTCTTTGGTCTGATTTTGTGAAAAAGACTCACATCTAAAAATGGGTCTTGTGCGGTTACAGATAGTGAGTTGTGGTGAGTTAGTTACCTTAAGGATTAAGAGCTGTCCCCTTAAGAGATTGCATTGGGGGGATGTAGTGAGAGATTGCATTATGGGAAATGTAGTCCAGGACAAGTGACCAAATCTGTGTGGCTGATTGGCCACTGAGGCTTTCTGCCTGGGTTTCAGAACAAAGACAAAGAAGAAAGACATTTGGAATTACCCCAGAAGAAAGAAAGATGCTTTCTGAATAGGGGGTCAGAACTACCATCCCTTTACACTAGGAAATGGGAGAGATTATGCAATAAGGATGCATCTCAACATGACTCACCATGATTCACCTTGATCCTAATAAACGATCTGTATGTAACCTGTTTGCTAGAGTTTATCTGCCTGTTCCCAGTGGAGCCAGATGCCTGGGGAACAGAAAAGGTCTGGAAAAAAGCTGAAAGGACTCCAGATTATTTTCCTCTCTCACTTCAATCCTTAATTTATCACTTAAATAATGAATTTAAAGTAGTGGTTGGAATCAGTTGTAGTTGCTGTACCTCAGCCCGTTTCCATATTTGTGTAATTGATCATTGCTTTTGGATCAATGTTGGCTTAAGGCTCAGTAAACTTCTGCAGGATTATATATTAATTTAATTTAATTTAATTTAATTTCCAATTTATATACCGCCCTTCTCCCTGAGGACTCAGGGCGGTGTACAGCCAAGATAAAAAACATAGAATACAAATATTAAAAGAAGTATTTGTTGTTGCTGTTGATTATAACAACATGTTTTAACAATAGGAAACTTTATGGTTTTTTATATGGCTTACAATTCATTTTCACCATTCAAACGGTCAACAAGAATTCTCAGCTCCTTCACAATCTCACACTGGGCTACAACATCCATGACAACTATCTGAATACTTTACGCACTGCAGATGCCTTGCTGGACATGCTCTCCACTGGAGAAGCCAATGTCCCCAACTACGGCTGTGGAAGGAAGGAGAACCTCCTGGCTCTTCTTGATGGAGCTAGCAGAGAGATCTCCATCCAGGCGTCAACATTAGGAGGCACCTACAAAATCCCACAGGTTTGTGTGTGTTTTTCTCCATCTGGTAAAGTGAGCGGTGGGTGGTGGTGGGTGAGCAATAGATGCAATCATGTCTTCTCCATGAAATTCAAGAGCTGCTTTTCTCCATATTCTCCATATTTTACCCCATTATGTTCATGTTGAGATTAATCATAAAAGGCCTGAAATGCAAGCAATACATTCCCTGGAGAAGACATTCTACCAACTATTTAACGGATCAAAAAATATCCCTGGTTGTTGGGGCCTCTATTGGCATCTTCATTTTCACAGATAAATAATGCCTGCCCTATCCAGTCAGATTGAAGTTGGCAATAGTAGCATTTTATCCATCTAAAAAGTGGAATAAAAATTACTCTAGAAATTATAGACCAAATAGACTAGCAGAAATTGTGGCTAACATTTATGCCATGATCCTCTTAGTTAAACTTGAGAAAAATGCATTCTTTGCAGAAGAACCAGAAGGTTTTAGGTAGAGTGAAAAACTATATAGATTTTATAAGAAATAATTGATAAATTAATAATCTAATATTGGCAACAAATTTGTCTTCAAATATCTAATCTATATCAGTGAGGTAAAACAAGGTTTGCTGCTTTCTAGATGTTAGTGCAGCATTTGACTCAATAAAGAGAAAATTATGATGGAGAAAATGGATGGCCCTCAAAATGGAGCTCAGCCTGTTGGCCCTGATCCAAGCCCTTGTTTGAGAGGGAGGTTTGGGCTCAATGGAGCCATGAGAAGAAGGATCTATGCTTACCAAGCGGGAAGGGAAAGATGCATATTTGAACCCCTGTTCTTCAGTCTAGATATGAATGACTTACTAGGACTAATGCAGGATCAAAAAACAGATCATAAATAAATGTTATTTCATTCTTTCACAAAAATGACTAAATTAGTGGACCAATGAAATGCAGTGCATGTAGTATACAGTACTTGGATTTCAGAAAGGCTTTGACAAAGTAAACCACAACCTATTTGTCGGGAACCTGAAAATATGTGGGATAGACAGCATCAGCCCCAGATGGAGTCAGCCTGTGGTCCTCAATGGAACTACGTCTGCATGGAGGGAAACAAGCAGTGGGGGACCCCAAGGTTCCATTTTAGGCCCAGTTCTCTTCAACATCTTCATGAATGATTTGGATGAGGGGAGAAATGGGGAAATCAACAAATTTGCACATGACACTAAAGTGGCAGGAATAGCCAACATCAAAATAGGCTCAAGATCCAGATAGATCTAGATAGACTTGAATCCTGGGCTTATTTAACTAAATGAAATTCATTGTAGAGAAAAGTAATGTTTTACACTTAGGCTAGAAAAACCAAATGTACACTTACAGATGAGGTGAAACCTGGCTCCATAGCAGTAACTGTGAGAGGGATCTTGGAGTCCTAGTGGACAATCCCTTAAATATGAGCCAGCAATATGTGGCTGTAAAAAATGACCACCACATATGATAGTATGATCCCGGCAAATGCAAACATTTCCAACATTTGGCTGATTTATCCTTAAACATCTTTGCTAATCTTTCTGCTGGCATATGCCACCTATAAAACAGATTTTCTTTATATGTAATTGCCATTGTCAATTTATAATTCCTTTCCCATAGTTGTTGCCATTTCTCTAATTCTATTGCATATCCAAAATTTTTCGCCCATGTAATCATTGTCTCTTTTATCTCATCACCTTCCAATCTAATTTGCAACAAATAATTATACAGTCTTTTAATCGTTTTTCATCCTTTCCAACCATTATCTGATCCAACTCTGATTCCCCCAAATTAAAACCGTATTGTTTCAAGTCTTTATCATATCTTGATTGTATCTGCAGCCGTGTATACCAGTCAGTCTCAATCCCTTTTTTTCCTAAGTCTTGTTTCTGTTTTAATTCTCCCTTCTCTGTTAAAATGTCTTTATATCTTACAATCTTGTCCATGTTAATCGTATTTGGATGTGTCAACATTTCTATTGTTGAAAGCCACATTGGTACTTCCATATAATGTTTTTCTTTCACTCTTTCCCAAACTACCACAAGCCATTCCTTACACAATGTCTCTGGAAATATCCATGAATCCATTTTTTTCCATACCATAAGAAAGCATGCCATCCTAGTTGTAGGTAGAGTCCTTCCAACGTCAATAGTTTTATATTTCTCAATAAGATCCATTCTTTAATCCATGTTAACATCGCCGCTTGATGATACAATTTCCAGTTTGGTAGTCCAAATCCTTCTGTAAACCTGGAGTCTTGAAGCAATTTAAGTTTAATTCTCGCTTTTTTCCCTTGCCATATGTATTTACATAATTTTATTCAAACTTTCAAAGTATTTTTTTCTCCAACTTTATCGGAATTGTTTGGAAAAGAAACAACAATCTTGGTAATACATTCATTTTGATTAATGCTTATTCTCCCCATTAAAGATAATTGTAAATTTTTTCATTTTTCCAAATCTGTTTCAATTTGATTTCTTAATTTATAATATAACCAATGTGAATTTCTAACCAAAAGTTGAGGGTCTGCCACAGAGAAGAGGAGGTCAACCAATTTTCCAAAGTACTAGAAGGCAAGACAAGAAACAATGGAGGGAAACTAATCAAGGAGAGAAACAACCTAGAACTAAGGAGAAATTTCCTAATGGTGAGAAATGGAATGTCTCCCCTTCAGAAATTGTGGGTGGTCCATCACTGGAGGCTTTTAAGAAGAGACTGGACAGCCACTTGTCTGGAATAGTATAGATAGATGCAGATTAACAGAGTTGGAAGGGACCTTGTAGGTCATCTAGTCCAAGCAGACCCTACACCATTTCTGACAGATGACGGTCGAGTCTCTTCTTGAAAGCTTCCAGTGATGAAGCTCCCACAACTTCTGAAGGCAACTTTATCTCTTTATTTCCAGGTTGAATCTCTCCTTGTTCAGTTTCCATCCATTATTCCTTGGAAATAGCTTGACCCCCTCCTCTCTGTGGCAGCCCCTCAAATATTGGAAGACTGCTATCATGTCTCCCCTGGTCCTTCTCTTCACTAGACCAGCCATGCCCAGTTCCTGCAACTGTTCATTCTATGTTTTAGCCTCCAGTCCCCTAATCCTCTTGGTTGCTCTTCTCTGCACTTTTTCTAGAGTCTCAACATCTTTTTTATAGTGTGGTGACCAAAACTGGATGCAGGATTCTAGGTGTGGTCTTACTAAGGCTTTATAGGGTGGTATTTGTACCTCTCTTGATCTTGATTGTATCCCTCTGTTAATGTGATTTAGGATTGCATTGGCTTTTTTGGTTGCCGCTGCACACTCTTCACTCATATTTAATTGGTTGTCCACTAAGACTCCAGGATCCCTCTCACAGTTATTGCTATTATGCCTGGTTTACTGCTTGAACAGGGGGTTGGACTAGAAGACCTCCAAGGTCTCTTCCAACCCTTTTATTTTGTTATAAGTTCTGTTATAGGTACACATGTTTAGCCTGCTAAATTCCTATTGGAATACACTGATTTATACAGATAATGTGATATTCTCATACTTACACATTGGATTGTATAGACTTGGATTGTTTTGTCTGAATAATTATCTGATAATTTATACAGCAAGTTCAAAAGTTATGGTCTTTGTGAAATGACATCATAGCCATAGATGGTCAGCCATTAGAGTAATGTGGGAAAGTAACAAATAAAGTAATAAATAAAGTAAAAGCAGGTCCAACTAGATGATCACTGAAGGGCCCTCTTTGTTCTTAATATTGTAAAAGAGAAAATGCTTTAATTGTATCCAGCACGTAGGCAGGCACATTCCTTCCAAGTCGGATTTCTACTTCAAGGCCTCTCAGTTGTCACAGATAAGGACAGTCTAGGTGATTTACATTTTAAGGTCGGAGAGAGGAGATGACCATATTATGCTTCAGTAACTTCTTAGAAAAATTATAACTGTTTTGCAAAGATAGTAACAAACTCAGTAATTAGGAAATGTCAATTAAAAATGACAAATGTATATGACCATATGAATTGCTGACTTCACAGAATCCTTTGTTTGAAACTGTATAAATGCTTTGAGCTGAAAATCATACTTCGTCAGACCTCCATTTTTATGGTAGCAATGCCAAGGTTTGATCCTTTATTGCAATAAATAAATAAACTGATTCTGTCTGCCCTGAAGGGATGGTTCTTTAATTCCCTATTTCCACAACAAGAGCAAGTAAAACCTTTCCTTACCTGGGGTTGTTTTCTCTGAGCCTGAATCTTGGCTCCCTCATCATCCAAGGAGCTCAGTTAGAGAAAGGGCAGGAGTGAAAGTGGTGCTTGAATGAAAACCTCATAGCTCTCCAGCTTCCTCAGCCCCAATTATTAAAGTATCTGAGGCCCAGTTTTCCCCCATGTTCTTACATCCATCTGATGTTTGGGGCTTCAGAGAGAAACCACCAGCAGAACCAACCCAATCTCAGCCTCTGAGGAGGATCTTGGGGTGGACAAAAGGACTCCAGCTGCTGCCCTCAGAGCTGATTTGGGAATTTCCACAATTTCTGCTTTGTCTAAATTCAGAAAATATGAGTATTATTGGCATAAAATTTTATCTATGGAAACTGACAAGACTCTGAAAATTGTGGCTATTGGAACAGACAAAACTTCAATTAAAGACCAAACTTGGATTATGCAACTGACAAATCTTATTAGGCTTTGAGGTTGGCCTGTTTCTTGTATAACTGGAGAAAGAAGTTAAAAAATTTCCTCCAGAAAGAATCTGGGATATAGAAACAGAAAAAGATGCAGCAATCCTCAAAAATTATAATAGGCCCTTTATTGGAATAGAATACTCCAGTTGGCATTTTCACGTGTTAATCTAATTGTGATCAATTATAGGGGTGGGTTACAGTAATATGATTTACATTTTTATTGTTTTTTAATTTGCTTATTATTTTCCATTATTATGATACAATCTTGCTAATATTCTGTCTTTCATATTTTAAACAATGTCTGATTAACAAACTATTCTAATACATTCATGAGAACCAGGTTGGATTTATTAAAATCTAATATTTTGGACTTGATCTGATCCCAAATGTAACACAGCATTCTTCATTGCTTTTTCAGATCAGCCGTACAATTGTTTCAGAAGCTCTGAGTGATAAAAGGAATTTCCCCTTTTTCCACCAGATGAATCCCAAAGAAGGATTCCAGTACTCAGCAATTGTCCAGCTGCTCCTCCATTTCAGATGGACCCTGATTGGCCTCTTTGCTTCAGACACAGAAAATGGAGAGAATTTCATGAGGATTTTTCCTCCTGTGCTTGTCAGGAGTGGAATTTGTGTGGTTATATCACAACTGTTCTCAACAACTGGATACACAACAGCCCTCAGGGATTCCCTCTCTAAGTGGAGACAAGTCAACGTCTTTGTTCACTTCATAGAACTTGATTCCATTTGGGACAGAATCCTTCCTTTCCATTTAACATTTATGCGTCTGCCAGGACCCATTGAAGGGAAAGTCTGGATCTTCACAAATTTTGCAGCGTATCCAATGAACAAGCGCAGACTTCTAAAATACATCGACAGTATTTTGAACTTTGGTTATCTGCTAAAAAAAAGGCCAATGGATTCTGCCTATGAACCCAATTTCTTTGTGGAAGAAAAGTTTCAAGATCTTTATTTTCTCTGTTCCCTTTCAAAGAACGTCTTTTCTGTCAAAGGCCGCAGAAGATGCACCCAGAAAGCCCCAATGGAGACCCAATGGAAAAGGAACAGAGGAAGGCTCCCAAATGACTATCAATATTACAGTTTCATTCAGACTCTGGCCCAGGCCTTGAATGCCGCTTATTCCTCCAGAATGAGGAGGAGAAAGGAGGGAGAAAAAACTTTGGGGTCTCCAAGGCTGCAGCCGTGGCAGGTATGGGGGTCCCTATATGGATCCATTAATCTTAGATCCTTTGGAGGAGAAATCTAGAGGAGAAGGAGGGGAACCAACTCAACAGATCTGGCCAATTTAATTATTCAGGGAATAATGGTTCCAAAGAGTAGATACCATGGCATTTTAATATTAAACTCTGCTCATTTGAAAACGCTTTCTTAAATGAATTCTTGTATTTGTGGGTTTGTGATGAGCATGGTGGAATTTCCCCTTTGTTCCGTCCCCACTGCAGGTGGGTCTGTGTGCAGCTCAACAGGCAGCTAAACCCCCCTCTTCTCCTCCAGTGAAAGGGAGCCTGGGGTGGATCTGGGTGTTTCATTGGGAGAAAAGGGCACGGAGAAACTGAGGAGATGCAAAGAGTGAGAATCAAATATAAATAGGAGATAGGCAGCATTAACTAACAGCCAACAAAGAAACAGCTGGAACCTCTCCAGGGATGCTCCGTGTGAGGGACGGAGGCCTCCGGATGACCATGTGTCTCGGTCAAACCGGCTGCTTCCGTCTCCTCCAAAGGCTGAGAGAAAAGGGAGTCTGGCTTCAGACCATACAGTGAGGCTTATCTGCCCCCGGCCACTAGGTGGGGCTAGAGCAACAACTGCACAATAGATACATGTTGTGGCATGACAAACTTCATAAATTTGGAGGAGACCCTGAGACCATCTAGCCCAACCCCTCCTCTCTGCAGGAATCCCAGTTAAAGCTTCTCTGACTGATGGCTGCTCAGTCTTTGCATTCAGACAATCCATGAAGAGGAGACTGAACTTCTCTGCTTCACTGGCTCAGCTCTAAAACAGCTCATCCTTTTATCATATTTTTTCTCTCCTTCAGCTAAAATCTCCTCTCTTGTAACTGAATTCGTTTTTTCATGTCTGACACTCTGGAATAATAGTGAGCGGATCTTACACTCGTGTGTAACCTGTGTCAGTGATTGGAAGAGGGCTGCATCCTCCCTTCTCCAACCGAGAGATTGTGTCAGTTGGAAAAAGGCAGTGGTGGGATTCAATTTTTTAAACAACCGGTTCTGTCGGCGTGGCTTATTTGGATGGGTGTGGCTTGGAGGTCATGTAACCGGGTGGGCGTGACTAGTTGATCATGTGACCGGGTGGCCATGGCTATGTGTATAGGGACTACTCAGAGGGCTGAAAAAAGTCATTTCTGACCGGCCCTCACACTTTTGACTGGTCCTCACACTTACGACTATCCTCACATTTATGCCCATTTCAGCATTCTTAGCAACCATGTCACTCATTTCACAACTGCTTCTCTTCACCATGGTGACAAGATAGGGCAAAACACGTAAAATTTGAGGATAGTCATAAGTGCGAGGACTGGTCAAAAGTGCGAAAACCGGTCAAAAATAACTTTTTCAGCCCTCTGAGTAGTCCATATGCAGATAGGGACTACCCAGAGGGCTGAAAAAAGTGATTTCTGACAGTTCCTGGCACTTTTGACCGTTCCTCGCACTTATGACTGGTCATCATTTATGCCCATTGCAGCATTCTTAACAACCGTGTCACTCATTTCACAACTGTGGTGCTTCATGTGACCAGGTGGGTGTGGCCAAGTGGTCATGTGGCATCGCTTCTTTGCCCTAATGACAGTTTGCTGCAATGGTCGTAAGTGTGAAAAACGGCCATAAGTCACTTTTTCCAGTGCCATTGTAACTGTTGTAAGTCAAGGATTACCTGTACAAGAAGCTTCTTTGCTTGCAAAAAGCTGCCCTAAATACCAATCATTAGATTAGAAATACCTGCAAACTGGAGTTACAAATCAGGCAGGGTGCCAGAGCACCTTGAGGAATTAAAATAGTTAAAATGCAGTGATAACTATCAGCAGCCAACTCTTGCTCATAAAGTGAAACCCTTTAGCAGAGAGGTCATTTAAGCTCTCCGGAATGAAGCAAAGGAGCAAACAGACTATCTGTTGCTTGTTAAACCAATGACCAGAACAAATAGACACAGAACTAGTCAGATTTCCAAAGCTGCTTCTTTTCAGGAACAGAGATTAACATTTTTCCTTCCAAACAAAGCTAACTAGGGAAAATTATCTCATCACTAAACACAGAATTAAACTTCACCAAAACCAGTTTTAGACCAAAAGTCAGAAACTCACATTTGAATGTGAATCTTTCTAGCTAGCCAATAAGCCTTGCTGAATGTCACTCATCTTGGTTCCTTGTCATTAAAAGCTTCTGCTTCGTTATTCAATTATTTCTTTAAAGTGCTGATCATTGCACCCTGGCTGGAAGAACTCCAACAGGGGAGTATTTCCTCCCAACAGCCGTATAAAAAGCTTAAAACAACCCTTCCCCTTTAAGAAAGTAAAGCAAAAAAAAATCCTCCGAGAACCTCCGGAACCGGAAGCAACAGTAAGTCTAGGCATACTGCCGGAGAGGCAGTTTCTGTAAGCAGGGCAATAAACATTAGGCTAGGAGACAACACCGAATGTTGTAATTCTTTACAGGATTAACCCTGTAAAGTAGAAAAAAAACAAGGAGATTTCTTTTAACAACCAGTTCTCCAAACTGCTTAACTATTTAAAACTACTTAACTACTTAACAACCGATTCTACTGAACCGGTGCAAACCGGTAGAATCTCACCACTGGAAAAGGGGCTCCCAGACTCCTCCTGATCTTCAGCTCTTCTTCTTGTTCTCCAGTCCATTCCCCAATCTCCCTCAATCTTCTTAAAAAAATCCATTTCTTCAGTCATCCCTTCTGTCCACTTTGAGTCTTCAGGGTCCATGGCCTCTCCAGCCATCTCCAAGCAGCCTGCCTTCAAACCAGACTCCTCCTTCAGGGATGCCAGCAGCAAATTCAGTTCCAGTCCATCCATCCAATTCATCCGATTCAACAATTGTTGCTTGCTTCTGATTATCATCTTTAAATTGATTTAAAAGCATTGTTATTTTATCAAACTTTGAAATAAGTTTGAAATAAGGTTTTTAAGTAGAAAAACTTTATATTCTTTAAATTAAATCACATCAAATTAGCTTACTCTAGGATCTACATCTTAGATCAAATCTTGCGTGAAGGGGATTTATCAACTTGACTGTATTAATGACAACATAGAAAAATTGATGTTCAATAGCAAAAAGTTATCCCTAACCTTCAATCCCTGGCCCATTAATTAAAGTATATAAAGGTTCCCCCTATGCTCTTGTATGGAGCAGAAGTTTGGGATTTCTACTCAACCACAGTACTAGAACAAACACAGTCCCAGCACCTGAGCTGTATTGTGGGTGTAGATCTAAGGACATCTGCTGCAGCAGTTAGAGCTGAATTGGGAATGTATACAATTCATCCACTATCCAAGATCAAAGCATATAACCACTGGCACAAAGTCAATGAAATGGAGACTGATAGACTCCCCAAGTTATGCTTACTGGAGGAGATAAACTCACAATCACAAACCTCTTGGATCACTAAACTGATTAATTGTGGAAGTAGCTGTGGCCTTCCTGTCTCTTGCGTAACAGGAGAACGATTCAAAAAAACAGCTGCCCAAAGAATTAAGGATATAGAAACACAAAATGACATGGCTATTCTCAGTAAGGTGGGTAAGTTGAAATGGCTGAGCAAATACCAACCTACTTTTCAACTAGACAACTATTTAAAGTTACAACTGCCAAAACATCTTAGGGAGAGATTTACGCGAGCGAGATTCAAACAGCTGGACACAATGGTCAGATATGGGAGATTCCACTCTAGACCTTATAATGGACGTCTCTGCATTTGCAGAGTGGCAGAGGCAGAAGACCTGGCTCACATCCTATTTGATTGCTGCCTGCAGAAGAGGGTGAGAGGCAGGTACCTTGGTCCATATACCAAACGAAGGACCCATTGGGAATCCCATATCAAAACGACTCACCTTATCTGCAGCCAGAATTTGAAAACAACATTTAATACAGCTCAGTACTTGAGCAAAATGGCTCAGTTGAGATCGGCATATGTGGGGCTGATTGGGGTAGACTGAAGGGGTGATATTGAAATATAATTTTATCATATTTTATTTATCCATATATTATTGTATTCTATTCCAATCTCATTTTAAATTGTTTTTATCGGATTTTAGTAATTTAGTAATTTGTGTTTGGAACTCTGCACTTTGATTTGGCCCATGGACTAATCAATCAAGTAAACAAACAGAACCTTCAGGTGTCATAGGAAAAATTTAAAAAGATTTAAAATTATTTGAGTATCACTTTGAAGACAGTTTTTATCCACTTAGTTATCATACCATCCGCCCCTCAGTTTTCTAATCACATCACACAATTGTTTGTGAGTCCGTTACTGAAATCCAGTGATATCACCAGAGTTCCCTTAATCTATTTAGGAAGTGCAATGATGGGTGAGAATGACTTTTGGGATGAGGGGAAGAGAGGCTGCCTAGGGAAGGATCAGAGAAGAAGGGAGAATCCAGGGGTGAAATTCACTTACCTTCCCTACCGGTTCGCAAATGTGTGCGCACTACCACAGAGCCCTCATCAGAGCCTCCCCCAGACTCCAGGACTGGCCCATGTCCCTCCCCAACCTCCTCACTGTCCAAATCTGCTGCCAGCTCCACTGGCCTCTGGTGGGCCACAACAGCTATACGGATTCTTGCTTTGGCTTCTGTCAATCCTGTCTCCAGGCACAGAAGTGCATTTGAGACACAACGTGGCATCTGGAGAATTGATCTGGTGAATTTGGATTGAACTACTTCTAATGATGTAAAACATGAAGCTGACGGTCTGAGCAACGTCCCATAAAGGAGCTGTGCTAGCGACTTGGGCACAAAAAGCTGAATAGCAGCAGGGACATAGTAGCCTCCCTTTGTGCGGAAACAATGAAGAATGGTGCTGGCTGATCTTTGGCCCAGGGCAGCTGCATCTCTCTTGAACCCTTGGCCTGAATGGCCACCCCCAGGGATTTGAAGGGGCTTCCCTGCTCTGTTTTGCGGCCATTTAGATACCATGAATCAAGTTTTGGCCTTTTTGATCTTTGTTTTCTCATCATTTATGCCCCGTTTATTGTAATTGCAGTGCTGGAGAAGGGCTCGCAAGGCTCTTTTAAGGCCTTCTGGTGTCCTGGAAAGGATCACAGGGGCATCTGCATAGAGCAGGAAGGCGATGCTTCGGTCACCTATTTTTTTGGGGGGGGGGTGATTTAGTTTGTTTAGCCATTTTACCATGCCGGTTATGTAAAAGTTGAAAAGCAGGGGGGGCAAAATGCCCCCGTTTAACCCCCTTTTGAGTTTTAACTGACTTCGAGAAGGACCCCTGCATATCACACCTCACCTTGAGGGATGTTTTAGTATGTAGGGCAGGTAAGAGATGAAGAAGCCTGTGGTCAATTGAGGCAGCTTCCAGCTTCTCCCATAGCTTAGTCCTGGGAACCGTATCAAAGGCTGCCTTGAGATCTATGAAGCAGGCGTAGAATGATGCAGGTCTATTTGATATGTATTTTTCCATCAGTTGATGAAGAACTAAGCACTGATCGGTAGTGCCTCTCCCCTCTCTAAACCCGGCTCCCTCTTCAGCGATCAAATTCTCCAGAGCCAGCCACTCTCCATCTGGAGGTGTTTTCCATCAGGATGACCAGAGAGAAGATTAGCCTGACAACTTTCTTCTTGATCAACCCATGCTTTCTGGGAATCAACCTCCTGTTTTCAAAGAGTTTATGAATCATCTTTTTTCCCCTCTGTTCATTTTATCTGTCATCTGCTCTAGAATGTTCCCTATAATTGATCAATTGTGTCAATGATATTTTCTCTATGCTTTGTCAGTATATGAGGGACAAATTTTTCTCAAACTTTTTCATTCACTTATGAAGATAATGGCAGTATTTGTATCCTATTTAACCATATCTTGAGATTCGACAATTGTGGAAGAAAGATTCAACGTGGGATAAGAAACAAAGTTTTCTACTTTTCAAATTCCTGGATGTTCCCATTCTAGTTTCATCCCTTTCTGGAGAGGAATGAATTTTGGAATATTTCTAAGAGGAAATTGTACTTGGACCAAAATGGAGAGATAACAGCAGATCTGGGCATCAAAATCATCTTGGTTCTCCCCAAGGAGGATGTCAGGAGAGAGATTCTGGCGTATTTTGAAAGACAGAGACTTACTATCAACCAAGATGCTCTTTCACGGCTAAAGTTGCTCAATAAGGTAGGAGAAATTTTGGTGTCTTTTCTCTGTTTTCCAAAGCCTGAGGTCCCATTTCAAGTGGGCAAAGCGTAGAGTCTCCAGGGTGGTTGGCCTCCCATGGCAGGTGGTGGAAGCTCTTCAAGAGACGGGACCTAAGTGGAGTGGCTTTGCCATGGTTTATGGAAACCTTTCAAGACGTTACTAGTCAGAGGTTTCTTTCTTCATCACAGTTTTTACTCTACATTAAAAAATCTAATGGAATAAAAGCTTCCTCAATCTTTTACAGTAAACTTTGTTCTCAGTTTTAATAAGAATATATCATCATACTTTAAAAAAATCAATTCTATTTCTCTAGACTTTATTGAATAGAAAAGTACTTTATTGTAATGTTAAATTCTAAAAGCAAAAGGGAGGAACTAAAGGAAGAATCTGCCAATTGTTTTACTTCCTGCATCTGTTTAGGAGTAGTCAGAGGTTTCATATTTACCCCAATGAAGACCAGAGGCTACTTGTCTCCATCCAATTCTCTCTCCATTTTCCATGGACAGAGAGTCCTAACGTATTTTCTTTGCCATTCCTTTTCTTCTGATCAGTCCCTGCCTCAGTCCAAATGTGTGGAGAGTTGTCATCCTGGATTTGTCAAGAGGGCTCGAGAAGGAGAGCCAGTTTGCTGCTATGACTACGTTTCTTGTCCGGAGGGGACCTTCTCCACTCAGGAAGGTGGGTCACACTGGGGAAAATGGGAGGCTTTGTGGAACTGGATCCATCCAGAACCTTTTCATGAAAGTGCAAGTTAAAAGACAGATCGAAGCTCACCTGGGTTTTTATTTTTAACCTGCACAATTTCTCATCTAAACGGAAGTAAATCAAAAAGACTTGGAAGGAGGGGCTGGGAAGAGATGGGAGGAGGAGGAGGCAGACTGGGCAAGCTTTACTAACAGCAGAGGAAATATCTCTTCTGCTTTTTAGTTTGGATATGTGCTGCTAAATTTACCTTTCTAGGAACATTGGAGTCAGGGGTGAAATGCAAAATTTTTGCATACCGGTTCGGTGGGCATCGCTGGTGGGTGTGGCAGGGGAAGGATATTGAAAAATCTCCATTCCCAACCCACTCTGGGACCAGCCAAAGGTGGTATTTGCCGGTCCTTTGAACTAGAACCTGCTTGATTTCACACCAGATCTTAGTTCTTTGAAACTAGATGAGTTGTTTTAGGTCCACCTTCTGAAAGACCTTGCAATCCACTGTATATTGGATCCTCCCCTTGAGGATCACTGAGAAGGTGTCACTGGGCCATAATCTGGTGCTCTGGATAGTTATGGGGGAACACATTACACAAATATTTTGCAAGTCATGTAGATCAATCAATCAATCAGAATAGAATAGAGCTGGAAGGGACCTTGGAGGTCTTCTAGTCCTACCCCCGGTTCAAGCAGGAGAACCTATACCATTTAAGACAAGTGACTGTCCAGTCTCTTCTTAAAAACCTTCCACTGGTTAATTGCTTTCACTGTTAGGAAGTTTCTCCTTAATTCCAGGTTGCTTCTCGGTGTTACAAGATGCTGTAGGTATCCTCCAAGTCCAGGATATTAACTGTCAGGTGGACTCAGAATGTTTGCCTAAAATGATTATATGATTCATTATTAACCTCTAATAGTGTAGGTTCCTATGAAGATTCTACACATTACATTGGAAATAATTAACACCCTAAAATTTCGCTCAATTTAATATATCTGGCTACGTTTCTTAAACAAATCCTTCTTATACTCTTTTTAATGAAATCTTTAATAAATACTTCTTGGAAAATGCCGCTGGTATCGGCTGTTTTTTTTTTTTATTTGATTTATATGCCGCCCTTCTCCGAAGACTCAGGGCGGCTTACAATGTGCTCAGCAATAGCCTTCATCCTTTTGTATATTTATACAAAGTCAGCTTATTGCCCCCACAAACTGGGTCCTCATTTCACCTACCTTAGAAAGGATGGAAGGCTGAGTCAACCTTGAGCCTTGGCAAGATTCGAACCCTGCAGTAATTGCAGGCAGCTGGTCTTAATAACCAGCTTAATAACAGGGTAGCCTGTACTACCAAGGCTCTTTATCCAAAGAAGGCATTTCTTGTAAGATAAAAGGACAGAATATTAATGAAAGTTGCTTTTTTGTTTTCTCAGATACAAAAAAATGCACCAAGTGTCCAGATGATAAATATCCAAATGTGGACAGAATCCAATGTATCCCCAAAGTCATAACCTTCCTGTCTTATGAAGAACGTCTGGGCATCATCCTGGTCTCTTTTGCCCTCCTCTTCTTCCTAACCACAGGCCTTGTTTTAATCATCTTCATTAAATACCGAGAAACTCCCATTGTCAAAGCCAACAACCGGGACCTCTCCTACATCCTCCTGGTCTCCCTCCTGCTTTGCTTCTTGTCTCCTTCTCTCTTCATTGGTCAACCAAGGAAAGCCACCTGCCTTCTCCGACAAACGGTCTTCAGCATCATCTTCTCAGTTGCCGTTTCTTCTCTCTTGGCCAAAACCATCATGGTGGTGCTGGCCTTCCTGGCCACAAAACCAGGAAATCGAGTGAAGAGATGGTTGGGGAAGAGCTTGGCCAACTCCATCATCCTTTCTTCTTCTGCTGTCCAAATTATCATCTGCTCCACCTGGCTGGGAGTTTCTCCCCCCTTCCCTGACTCTGACCTCCACTCCCAGCCTGGAGAGATCATCCTGCAATGCAACGAAGGGGCCATTGTCATGTTCTACGTCACCCTCAGCTACCTGGGCTTCCTGGCTGCCATCTGCTTCACGGTGGCTTTCCTGGCCAGGAACCTGCCTGGGGCCTTCAACGAAGCCAAGCTGATCACCTTCAGCATGCTGGTCTTCTGCAGTGTCTGGGTGACTTTTGTGCCCACCTACCTGAGCACCAAAGGGAAATCCATGGTGGCTGTGCAGGTCTTCTCCATCCTGGCCTCCAGTGCTGGTCTGCTGGTCTGCATCTTCATCCCCAAGTGCTACGTTATCCTTCTGAGGCCAGACCTGAACACAAAGGAGCAGCTCACGGCCAGAACAAATGTAAAAACATGAGATATAACACCATTGTGATATTGGAAGAATTGTTAAAAGTTTCTTTTATTTGAAAGGAGATATTCTTTCCATTTAGATAGTATGCAGGAGTCAAAGAAAATAATTTCTATATGTTTCAAAATGGGAAATTCTTGGATGACTGTAATTCTAGCTCTCTTCCCTTTCAGCTCAATAAAGAGAATTCTGTAAGAGTCATTCAGAGAAATTTGCTGTTCAGCAACAGCTTCTGAATGTGACATCTTATAAAAAATAATTTGGGCACTTGTTCCTACAGCTAAAAGTGTGTGAGAGAGTGAGCAGGAAGAGAGGCCAGGCGGAAGCTGTGGGAACCAAGCACCAGCCTAGTTGCCTGATCCTCTCTGTGAGAATGCCAGAATGATGTGAAATGCCATGTTTGACCGGCTCTCAGCTGGTGAGGGAAATCTTCATCCCTCTTCTATAATGCTTTGTTGATTTCCTGATAAAACCTCCTTTGCAGAAAGTGTTCAGCAGAAGAGCTGTCTGAGATTTCAGTTTGGGATTGGTTTGTTTGTTTGTTTGTTTTTGTATGTGCTTCACACCAAAATAATAAATAAATATTAAAGTGTATTAAGAAATTGCCACTGTATTTTTTTTTCATCAACTGTAGAATTAAAATTGTAGTTTTCAGGCCCTTTAATTTTTCACTCTACAATTACTACCTAAAGCATTTTCTCTGCTTGTCTTGTCTGTGAAGGGCTGGAGAAGATGTCCAGAGAAAGGGGACCTGGAGACTCTCCCCAGAAGGAGGTTGAGGGGATCCTGTCTAAAGGCAGCCGCATCCCTGACCAGATCAGAAACCTTCAATGCTGCATAATATTCATCCAGGTCCAAGAAGGGGGTGAATGGCGGGGGGGGGGACTTCCTGGTTTCTAGGGAGAGGCACCCATGGAAGCTGTTCTGCTCTCCAACCACACAGATTGCTGATCAATTGGGAATCAATGTTTAGGTCTCAGAATGGCTCCTAATTGCAAATAATTTGCAAATTCCATTTTAAGGAGATAAGAAAAGCTCTGATGGCTCAGACCAAGATCAGTGTAAGATTCACAGTGACCACACAGATCCCTCTGGTTCTCCCACAAGCAGAAGGCGGAGAGACTTATGGCTTTGCCCAACATGGAACTGGTCTTTTCCCACAATTTCACTTTCTTCCTCCAAACCACACAATATTGGACACTCGGCCATCTCACACTCTAGGAATCCCCAATCCTGGTATCCCAAATATATCTGAGAAAATATTTCCAACTTTCACACCCCCATTCAATAAGAACTAAGGCGGGACTGGATAGGTGCCTCTTCCCTCCCGGGCCACGTCGGGGCTCCGGCTCCAGAGGCTGCGGCGGCCCCACCGAGGAGAGCGGCCGGAGGACCCGGGGGAGGCGAGCGTGGCCCCAGGATCTGGGAGCGGGAGAAGCCGGGGGGGAGGGCAGGCGGGCGGCCTGTGGGGCTCCGAGGGACCCCCGGGGGCTGCAGGGGGGCCTCTCTCCCTCTCCCCACAGACGCTGCGAGGCGGGCGGGCGAGGCGGGCGCTGCGGAGGGGGCGGCGGCGGGGAAGCCGCGCTTGGGGGGAGCGGATCGGCCCCCACGGGGCTCCCTGGAAGGTTTTGCCCCCTCCGAGGTGGCGGCCGTCGGGCGGGGAGGGGGGGAGGGGGGGCGGCCGGCTCCCCGCAGAGGCCGGAGGGGCGAAGTCGGAGGCTCCTGGAAGGAGGAATCGCCCCTTTGAACTGCACCCAGATAAGGGGCTCCCCTCGTCCCTCCCGCCCCCCCCCTCAGTCCCCTCTCCGCTCTTCCTCCGACCCGGCGCTCCTCCCGCCTGGCAGCTGCTGCCCAGAAGCCCCGGAGGGCCCTTCCCCCCCCCAGGACTGAGAAGCCCCTTCCTGCCTCCGCCAAGGGCTGCGCTGAGCCCCTCCCGGACCCCCCCAAGGCCCGCAGCCTCTGTGCTGGGGAAGCTCAGCCGTCTCCGCCCCCCAACCTCCAGGCGGCAACACCTGGGCCAGGCGAGGGGAGAGGAGAGGGGGGCCCTCCAGGTGCGGAACCTCCCCCGTTGCTCAGAGACGGAGGCGCTGAGCGGAGGAGGTGGGGGGGGGGAGGAGGCCGTTCAAGGGAAGCCTGGGGGGGGAGAGAAAATTGGGGGGGGAGTCGGTTGATTGGCGGCTCAGCGTGATGCGTCCTCCGCGGGTGGGAGGCTGGAGGGGCGACCGCAGGCGAAGGCTCCTCTCCAAAGAGCGGGGAGGGGGTCGGGGAGCGCGGCGCAAAGGCTTCGAAGGCAGCGGAGGGGCTGGGGGGCTGCTGGGCCTCAACCTACTCACCCTAGTAGACACACGGATGGACGGATGGATGGATGGATGGATGGACAGTAAAGCGCCTCCTCACCCCCCCTCTTGCCTTGCCCAAAGACAGAGCCGTGGCGGCCGCCCCTTGCGTGTCCCCCTCCCTTTGCACCCGGGGACAGTTGGGACAAGGACACCAGCCCCCCACACGAAAGTCCTCTCCTTGTAGGGTGTGTGTGGTTCCTTCTCTGCCAATGTCTTTAAACCTTTCTGCCCCAAGCAGGCTGGGCAGGTCCTTCTCCAGGATTGTTCGTGGCCCCTGAACGGCTTGAATTTCACAGGGGAAAATCCTCTTCCCAGGACTGGGATGCTCTTTCCTTGATCATGGGGCTGCCTTCTTTATAGCTGCCCTTTATAGTTGTCTTTATAGATCTAGGATCCACCATCTATCTCCACACTACACGGCTCTTCCCCAATCTGTACTGTGATGTGCATTTTCTTTCCTCTATGGGCATCAGACTGCCCTGTTATCCTGTGCTCAAAGGCTCTCTTCGGGAGGAAATTTGTACAGGCCATTGAAACTATCTATTCTAAACAAACGGCAAAAGTAATGATAAATGGAGGATTGACGGATGCGATTGAAATAGAAAAAGGCACGAGAGACAAGGATGTCCTTTATCCCCACGGTTGTTTATATTGACATTAGAAGCTTTAAATAGGCGTGTCAGAGGAGAAAAAGAGAGAAAGGGCATGAAGATTCGAAAGGAAGAAGACAAGCTTTTGCAGATGATTTGGTTTTTATTATTATTGAAGAACCATTAACGACAATAAGTAAATTAATAGAAATTATTGGAGAGTTTGGAAAAGTAGCTGGTTTGAAAATTAACAAGGATAAAACGAAAGTAATGACTAAAAATATGTTGAAAAAACAGAAAGAAGAGTTGATGGAGATTTCAAAAATGCAGATCACAAACAAAGTGAAATACTTGGGGATACATTTAACACCAAGATGTAGTGCTCTGAAAGAAAACAATTACAACAAGCTTAAACCACAGATAGGGCAAGATTTGTTGAAATGGGGCAACTTGCGATTGTCTTTGATTGGCAGGATTTCAACCATTAAGATGAATGTCTTGCCTAGAATCTTGTACAATTCCAATTAAGTTAGATAAAGAATTTTTTATAGACTTAGATAAAATGATAACGAGATATATATGGCAAAGGAAAAAGGTGAGACTAAAGTTAAAGCTGTTACAAGATGCTAAATCAAGGGGGGGCTTCGGTCTGCCCAATTTTGAATGGTACTATCAAGCTGCAAGTTTAACGTGGATAAAAGAATGGATAACTCTGAGGAATACTAGACTATTAAATTTGGAGGGACATGATTTGTTGATGGGTTGGCATGCTTTCTTATGGTATAAAGGAACAAAAATACAAGGGTGTTTTAGAAGATATCAAATACGTGAAGCTTTATGGTTGAATTGGGAGAAGGTTAAAAAACTTTATTATTTGAAAATACCTGTTTGGATATCCATAGCAGAGGCTTTTTCTTATCCCGTAATATTTACAAAGGAACAAACTATCAGGTATAGTGAACTATTGGATGAAAAGGGTGAACTCCAATTAAAACAGAAACTAAAGGAACAGGGATTTAAGATGGATTGGTTTTCATATATGCAAATATTTTCTAGGTATCGAGAAGATTGTAAACAAGAAGGGTTTTACAATGCTTTGACTAATTTAGATAAGATTTTAATGGGAGCTGATGATCATATTATTAAAAATTTGTATGGGTTTTTGCTAGAGTTAAAACTGGAAGAAGAACAAGTTAAAAGAATCGATGGTAGCATGGGGGAAAACATTTTGGTTATGGGATTGATTTAGAAAAATGACAAAAATTGTGGTCTCATAATTATAAAATGACAATGTCTACAGCATATAAGGAAAAATTGTATAAGATGTTTTACAGGTGGCACTTATCCCCATCGAGAATCGCCAGAATGTTCCAGAACAAATTGGAGAAGTGTTGGAAATGTCATCAGACCCCAGGGTCCTATTACCACATGTGGTGGACATGTCTAGAAGCAAGGAGATATTGGACTAAGATACACATGTGGTTGGAAAAAATGACCAAGAGACACATAGACTTTAAACCAGAGATATTTTTATTAGGGATTTTACCAGAAATATACAACAAAGAATTGCAGTATTTAATCGTGAATCTGTTAACAGCAGCTAGAATTATATTTGCAAAACATTGGAAAGAAGAAATGATACCTTCGGATGAAGAAATTATTAGGAAAATGTTGGACTATGCCGAAATGAGTAAACTAACATTTGAAATAAGAGAGCAGGAAGAAAAACAATATTATTTGATATGGGATTTATTTTACCACTGGGTAGATAACAAAAAATGGTGATATGGAAGCAAATGTCGAAATACTTAAATGATGATACAACTGATATATTTTATGTAAGATTAAATTTTGGATATGTAGCACTATTGTGAAGAGAGGAGAGGGCACTAGGGATGCAAACCGACCGATGTACTGTCTGTACTTGATTGAATGAACGATGTTTATATGTTTTCTTTTTCTTTTTTTGTTTTAAAGTAAAAAATGATTTGGAAAAAAAAAGAAGAAAGAATTATATAAGATTTCCCTTATTTCCCTTGGTTCCCACAGCTTCCTCCTGGGCTCTTCTCCTACTCATTCTCTCTCACAAACACACTTTTAGCTGCTGTCAGTAGGAACAAGTGCTCACATTATTTTCTATAAGTGTCCCATAAAGTAGCTGGCAAATTCCTCTGAATAACTTTCAGAGTTCTCTTTAGCAAGATTTATTGAAAGGGGAGGGAACAACAAGAATTCTAGTAATTTGACTTCCAGTTTGCTGTTTGTTGCTGCCAGACGTTCCTTTGGGATCGTCAGCTTCCACCGCCTTCACAACGGAATGGCGGCTCGAAAAAACTCCGTTTCCATGAGGAAACGGAGATAGAGCCGGCAGGGGTGGGTAGAACTCTCTGCGGAGTCCCAAAAGTTTTTCCTTTACTTTTGGGACGGAGCGGATGAGATGCCCCGTATCCCCAGCCGCTGCTCTGGGCTTTGGGAGACCTCTGCTGATGCAGAGCCAGGCGTCAAAAGTAAGCCTGCAAATTTAACAGATTACTCAAAGAAATGTGAGCTGGACCTGTAATACTGAACCGCAAGTATTTTACTGATTTTTTTAAAAAAATTACTTAAGAGAGAGGAGGAAAAGAAAGAGGAAAAAAAGCCTTTTAAAATGGCGTCGGCTGGAGGAGAGGCTGAAAGG